CAAATTCAAAAAAAAAAAAAAAAAAAAAAAAATTAACAGGTTTTTAGGAACTACAATTTGCTTTTTCACAAAGACCCACAAGGATACATCCTCCAATTATGTGATCAGAGAACAAACCCTATTCAAAGATGGCACAAAATCCACATTTTTCCTTTCCAGCTTTCCCTTAAATATTCACAATGCAAACAAAAGTCAAAACTATAATATTTGATTTTGAGATAAGTATAAATTTTATCTAGGCTTTTATCTTTTGGCTTCCCATACAATCTATCATGTTAGCACATTCCTGAATCTAGACTTTTATTGTTAAAAAATAAGTCTAAGAACTATTGACATAATAATATACCAATATTTTACAATAGTATTCAGATATTTGTAGTTATAATTTTTCCAAAAGCAGCAAAACCCAAATAAGAAAGCATAACACTTACTGCTTTGAATTGTGCATTAAAATAAAAACACATTGAAAGAGAAGGGGTTTCATAGCCAGGAACATAACACTGCCCCAAAGTTTTACTTCAATGCAGTCCACTTCGGTTCTTTCAAGCAAAAGGATTCACAGTATTTCTTCGGCTTTCAAATTTTAGGCATTTAAATTGTCATAGTGCCCTGCAAAAACTAACACATAAATAAAGTTATCATCTGGCAACAATAAAATGTTTTTTTAACTGTTTTGGCTAATTATATTCCATCAGAGCTTTATTCAGAATAAATGAAATTTTAAGTGATTTAGTTCTCGTGATTCAAGCCAATATATATTAGTCAGGTAATTGTGATCCCATAACTTCCATCAATAAATGCAACAAAAACAAAACAAGAACTCTGAAACCTTAAAGCATATGTGAAACATTATTTCCTCTAGCTTCAATTGAAAAGAAAACTGGAATTAGCTTAATAGTAACTATTTGAAAAGAAAAATGAACAGTTTTCATACTCTGTCATTGATTAAAATACTCTATCTGCTTTAGAAATAAAGATCACTCCAAGTAAGCTACTTTGTATAAAAATAACGGTAATTTTTATCCTTTAAAATGACTTGGAAGGCAAACTGCCAAAACATCATAAAGTTTAAGAAGCATTTTTATTTAATATAAACTAAAATTGGTCATTAGACCTATATTCAATCTTATATTTGAGTAAAGCTGAAAAATACAGAAAACAGTATGGTCTGTAAGGAAGATTATTTCTTCCTGAGCTTCATGCCTGTAATCCTGGCACTCTAGGAGGCAGAGGTTGGGAGATTGCAAATTAAAGCCTAGCCAGAGAAACCTGACGAATTAGTTTGAACTTGACTCAAAATAAAAAAAAATTTGCCAGGGATTTAGCTCAGTGGTGCTGCCACCAGCCTTGCAAGCACAAGGACCTGAGTTCGATCTTCAAGTACAAAATATAATAATAATAATAAAATAAAATTTTATAATAAATAAGTAATTTTAAAAGGGCTAGTTATGTCCTGGGTACAGCACTAGTAAATAATAAACTAATACCAGTATTTGTATACTGTATCACTGAACTTTCTGATACCTTAGAACACATTCAGAACACAGTATAAATATCAAAATGTTAAATAAGATACTCACATCTTCATATAGGAAATTCACATACCCTTGTTGTAAGTGATCTCTTCTCCTAAAGAATTCTTTTCAACAAAGAAATAACATGTTAAAGGTATAACTTGAAACTTATAAATTCAAATACTTAATATCTCCAAGTACAGAGACTGAGACTTTCATATTTAATTAAATATTAAGACACAATATGCTATGCAACTGGGTTATAAAGAAAACATTTTATAACAAATTTCCCTATGTATATTAATAAATCTTAAAGCCTCAAAACTTTGATTAGGTATACAAGAAAAACAGCTATATAATACTGAACACAAGTTTGGGCTAGGGATTTAGCTATATGGTACTGTGCCTGCCTGGCAAGCACAACATCCTTAGTTTAATTGCTGGTACCCCCCCCAAAAAAAAGCTAGGTACCTGTCAATGCTCGAAGCTTCACACAGCAAGCAACATAATCATCAAAGAAAATTCTGCCATTCTTGCTGTAACGTTTAACAATAGCATTTAATGTTTGAGGACTCAATCTATAACCTAAGGAAAAGAGATTGATAAATTAAAATTTCTGAACAAAATACCCTAAAAACACTGCAAGCTTACTTTTTGATTAGTGAGGTCAGAAAATAAATTAACTTCCAAAATTCATTCCACGAAAATATACTTTAGAGATAAAATATGTTAATATTAACTGATCAAATTAAACCTTCATTATTAACCATTACATGAATAACAGAATTCTAACTTTGTAATAAAGTCCGTTTTTTTACTGTTTTCTTGGTTCTTTCTTCTAGTCTTGCTGCCTCTAAAATTTTTTGATTGTGCACTGCTGTGTTCCTGATCACAGACTTACAATACATGTGTTTAAATTAGCTTTCTTTTTCTTTTTCTTTTTTTTTTTTTTGGTACTGGGGATGGAACTATGGACCTTGCACTTGTGAGGCAGGCGGTGGAACCACTGAGCTAAATCCCTGGCCAAGTTAGCTTTAAATTCTATACACGCATTACTGTTTGAAACTTTATATCTCAAAATATACAAGACAAATGAAATTTAAAAAGAATAGGATACATATAACTAGAATTGAGAATTAATGTGTTCTAACTGTTATATCCCTGGGATGCATTTAGTGAGATGTGCATATTGCCAAGTATTATTTTCAATAGATTAATAGAGAGGTACATGTGGAAAAATAACACATCCTTCCAAAGGTTAAAATAAAAAAACAAGGAAAAGAAATCCAAGGAAATAAATAAAATGTTTCCCAAGGAAATTGCTAAAAGTAAAGTAAAACTATAAATTGAGATAAGCAACACAATATATAAAGTATTATCTGAAAACACATTTTGAATTTCCTATTAGAGTTACTATCTAGATGTGGTACTGATAATGTGCCTAAAATTTTCCTGTGGTATTCTCAGAAAAATAATTTGAATATTTTTAATACTATGTCTGAAGATGTTAAATTTTAATAATTCAGAACACCTCTTCAACTGCTTATGTGAATTCTTTTTGGTTTTTTAAGTACCAAGGATAGAACTCAGGACCTTGCACTTGTCAGGCAGGACCTGTGCTGCTGAGCTACATCTCTGGCCTTTATGTGAATTCTTTAGAAAGTTTCTTTCAAAGATTATATTAATTTACTAACATTATAACAAATTAAAGACCAGATTTAGTGCATTAGAATTAAGGTCCTAAAATTGAGCTATACATGTTTGTATGGCCAAGACAGTCCCTAACTACCATATTCAAATATCTCCATGTGAAACAATCATTAATCATAGTGCCTTAAATTGTAATTTGAGATAAGTCTATATGCAACAAGTTCATATTTGAATTTCTAAAACATTAATTTTCATATATTTTGTTTAGAAATAACTATAAATAAAATTACAAAGGTGAAAACAACAAGGCTACTTAAAATTACATTAACTGAAAAGCAACTTAAACATTATTATATATTCTCATTTTAGAAATTACACTGAGGATTAGCTTATCAAATTTACAATGAAAATAAATTCATATTCTTCTAAAATATTTAAAAATGCAACATTCCAGTACCTACTGTATATTCTGCATTATGTAAGAAAACAAAGGAAGAAAAAAAATGTCCGTTTCTGCTGATTACATGCTAGAGGCTGATACAGAAATTTGTCATTAATTGAGATGACCCTTTGTTCCCAAATCAGAAATAAGTTAAAAATATACTTAGAGGAAATTCAGAATGGATTCATATATTCATCTTTTGAAAAATAATTTTGTAAAAGTCTTAATTCAGAATTTATGTAGAATCTTGAACCTAAGGTTTTTTACCAGGAAAATGTTGGTTTAAGAAAATTATGTATAGAATCTTTATGACTTAGCAAACTGAAGCAGTGAAGATTCTTCTGATCACAGAAGAAAGATGGTCTGTATAGATGCAAAAAAAAAAAAAAAAAAATTAACATTCTTACCCATAACAGCAATGGCTTGACTCAATTCACAATGCTCTACTGAGCCACTCCGGTCTTGATCAAAGGTCATGAAGTTCTGCTTCCAGGCATTAAGAGCTGCCCAAAGCTCCTTGAATTCATTAAACCCCATTTTTCCTGTGTAATCTCTCTGACAGTTTTATTAACAAAAATAAGTTCTGGTACGTTAGAGGATTTACCTGACCCAAACCTCCAAATCACTGATTTAAAAGTAAATATTCTTCAGCAAAATAGCTTAATTCAGCATATGAATAGATTTCCATATAAAAATGGAACTGTCAGGACTTCAAATAGCATCTTACAAAGTATTTCTCAAGCTTCTAGCTTATTAGCTTACAGTCACATACAACTAGCAACTTGCTCGATATTCCAAGAGCAATAACTCTATATCACAGCATTGTCTATTTTTATTCAAGGATACATCCAACATAGCAATCATAATTCTGCAAGTTTCCAAGCTGAAGGCTGTAAAACATATGTAATATTTTAATCAGAATTTTTAAATTTTCACTTCTGTAAAATTATGAACATCTTTATTTCTAAAACAAAAGATTTAACATCTGTCACAAATTCAGTCACCATGATCAACAAACATATTAAATGTGAAACATTTACGATAAGAAGGGGAAAAAAAACCTCAAAATGCTGTACTCAACCCCTCGTATCTAGTGAAAGGATTAAAGTCATTAGAGAAGCAAACATAACATAACCCAAAATGTGTTTGAGGTGATTAAAGCACTTGGCTCTGCCTGGAGCCTGAAGAGGAGACTTTCAGTTTTCACATCACAAATCAACAGGGGAGGTTTAAGTAGAAATTTGACAGGCAATCAGTGTTCACAAAACTTGAAGGAGTCAGAGTACAAGTGAAGGAGTGGTATATGAGGGCATCAAAAAGACAAATGAAGACCAGATTAGGAAACTCTTCCATACCACCAGAAAGAGTTTAGTCCAATGCAGTGCATGTGCATAACAATAGACCAAATTTTAGAAGGTGTGTCACCTTGATTGGAAGCAACTGTTTTTCCTTGAGGGAGGGGAAAACAAAAACAAAATAAATCAACACAAACTCTCCTAAAGTCAGGGTTTATCAAAAGAGACAGTAACACATTCATATTGATGGTAATATAATGAGCCAACTAGAAAATATTTAATTTTCTAAACCTAAATCACAATTATATCCAACTAGTACAATGATTTTCCCAAGATGAGTTACGTCAGAGTTCTAATAAAGGAGATCATTTATTAATATACTTCAGTAAAGCTTGCATAGTTATTAGCAGTTCCTTCATAAGACTGACTGACTAAATAAATACATTAATAAATTTAAAATTGTCATTTATTTTATGCTACTGGATAATGCATTTTGAAATTTTCAAAAAAGAAACTTTCGGCCAAATTTTAGACTCACTAAAGAAAAATTATGAAATATTCTACAAAGTAAAATAGCTGATTTCTTTAAATGTTTAATATAGTGTTGGTATAGGATTGTTGGGTATAATGTACTATTTTCAAATTTACAACTGAACAGACAACTCACTGAATATTTAGTGAGTCCCATAGGGTGTAGTTCATGATCATATTCATATATTATATCCCTAATTTTATAAGTGAAGAAACTGAGGCACAGTAAGATTGTTTCCCAAGTTCATACAACTTATAAGAGAAATCATCAGGACAGAAACTCAATGTAAATTTCAAACAAAAACTCTTGGTGGAGTAGTGTTACATGAGAAATTTATAGAATAGTCTATGTTTTTATGAAGTATATAATGTTGTGCTTTAAAATTAATTTAGCACACATTCATGAAATGGTAAAATCTAAATGGATAATTATAAATGGTAAAATTAAATGATAAATAAGGACATCTTCAACTTCAGAATAGGATAAATAAGGACATCTTCAATCAGAATAGGATAGTATATGTAAAAAAGAAGTATTTTCAACCAAGAAGTAGACATTTTAGTAAAGTTGACAGATTCTTGACAACCTTTTGGATACAACCCATTTGAATGAACAGCTGATATTTGTTTAACAAGGCATAAACCTTTAGAGAAAAAAAGAATACAGGCCACCGATCTAGCTCAGTGTCCAGAGTTCAATCCCCGGTACCAAAAAAAAAAAAAAAAAAAAAAAAAAAAAATTAAAAGAGACTATAAGAAGAAACAAAAGTAAAATATTTTGAAAGTTACAAAGTCAATAGATATGAGCTTACTAATATTTACTCTTAATGAGAAAAGCTGAAAAGAAACCTAGTTGTCTTGGATGAGACTGCAAATGTCTAAGAATTAGCAGTACTTCTGAAAATGTGTATGAAAGTGGAGATAACAGAGCTCCATGATGTCTGTTTAAGAAACATTTATTGTCCCCAAAACCCTTCAAGTCTGTTTAGTTGGAAGGCTGTCCCACCTACTCTCACCCCAGCAGAAGTCTGCAGTTTTATTCTTGGAACTGTCTCTGGACTGTAAGACACAAAGGCACAGTTGGTAGGAGCTATCTTCTAAACAAGGAAATAAACTGAAATTTTACAAAAGACTCAAGAATCTTAGAGTTTGTTTCAGCTTCTCTTCAGACAAATCAACTACAGAACAAAGGAAGATCTCTAAAAACATACTCAAAGCTCCACAATAAAACTGTCCAGTCAAATAAGCATACCCTGAATTAGACCTTCACCATGACAGTGAGTGATAGAGCTTATAGGCAGTGTTTTTACTAAAACACAAGCAACAAAGTATCATCAGACACTTAAGAAAAGACATGAAAGATAACCTAACAAACAAACTGGGAGGATAAAAACAATTTTTAAGAAGGAAATTCTATGTAGGAAGAAAAAAATATAACTAAGTTTATCAAGTATTTCATAGAGATAATAGAAAATATCATATTCAGGGAGAAAGTATACAGAAGCACATGGTTCTTAAAAACCTAACAGCATAAATGAAAGACCCAACAGAGGTTTAGAAAGTAAAGGACAGTTTCCAAAAAGTAGAGTAAGAGAAAAAATATAGGTAGAAAACCCAGTCCAGTTCAAATAACAGGCATTTGAAGAAGAAGAAAAAAAAATAGACCATTGGGAAAAATTTCCCAGAAGTAAAGTAAGTTCCCAACTTAATATACTCACGGAGATTTGCAGATAAGACAATTAGGCACATCACTGTGAAATTTCAGAACTCTAGAGGCAAAAAGAGGACATTACAAGCTTCCTGTGTGATGAAGCAAATCACATGTGGGAAGGAAAGAGAAAGGTACAGCAATAATGAAAGTTAAAAACAAGAGTGATACTTTATTTATTTATTCATTTTTGATACCGGGAATTGAACTTGGGTCCTCACACATGCAAGGCAGGTGGCAGAACCACTGAGCTAAATCCCCGGCCAAGAGTAATACTTTAAATAATCTACATGAAAATGATTTCTAACCTAGAACTCTCTATCTGTTCAAACAATTCTGAAGATAGAATGAAAGCAATTTCGGATACACAAGGGCTCAAAAATTGACCTCCCATGAACTCTTCCTTTGAAGGTTTTTAAAGATATAGTATTTCATTGAAATGAGATTGAATATTTTAGAAGAAAGAAGACAGCAACTGGGTGTGGTGACACAGGCCTCTAAACCCAGCACAAGGGAGGCTGAGGAAGGAGGATTAGAAGTTTGAGTCCTGCCTGGGCAACTTGGTAAGACCCTGTCTCAAATAAAAATAAAAAGACCTGGGGAATGGTGTACCCCTGGGTTTAAAATAAAAAATAAAAGAGAGACAGGAAGAGAGATGGAGTAAAAGAGGTAGCCAATTTAAGAAAAAGAGGAAAGACAGCTCCAAAGAAGGGAGAGAAAATTCCAGTGATGGTGACGAATGCCACTCTGACAGATGTGCACAGAAAATACACCACATCAAAAGCCTCACATTGATGGAAAAGAGAGAATGCCTCACAGCTATTAATTTCATGGAAAGAGAAAGTTATAAAAAGAGGAAGAGTATTCATACATTATCATAAGACACTACTGCGAACAGCATGTAGATAATAAAAATAAGGTAAATATTGATTATTCACCTAGTAAAGTTATTATATAACTACACTGGAAGGACGGAAGGATATGAAAATTCCTGTGTGGAGATCAAGGATGTGGTGACTTTAAGGTTGAGAGTTAAATCCTAATTTCACAAGAAGATATCAACTGATAATCATTAATCCAAAAATAGTATTAAAGACCCAGTATTTTGAGACCTGGGAGAAAAATCTCAAAAAAGTCAGCTAAAACAAATCTGAAGGAGGTATCTTTTATGAAAGGTTAATGTTGGGAAGACAGCAATAGACAATTAAGTTATTTGCATAATAAGACTTGCAAAATTGAGACAGTTTACAGAGGGCTCTAATCCTCCCACCAAGTTTATCTTCTATGATATATGAGGTCTTCAGAAGATGTCTCCTTCACTTTCCAGGTTTAGGAGCCGCTTACTACTTCTCCACAGTTTCCCACAATTCTAGCATGTTCAATATTCCTCAACTTGACCAGCACACTCAATGTGCCACTTGGGTGGCAGGAGAGCACCTCCGCCATCTTTTGATAACTGAGCATAGAGGAAGCCAATGCACATGAGCATATCTTCATTTCAAGTGCAAACCCAAGTACTACTAATACACACCTGACAAGACATGCGCAGAAATCCTGCAATCCTGAGCAACAGCTGACTGTGCGCCTGCCTAAATCCATCATTTTTTGCCTAAATAACCTTTACTCCTCCCCTCCCTGAAAAGCAAAACCAAGAACCAATCCCACATGCTGCTTTCTTTATCTGAAACACAGCTCCAACAAAACCTTGTTCAGTTGGTATTGCTTGCCTCTTTGTGATGCCTATCTGGAGTTGAGCAAAATAACCCAAGGCTGAACTGCTAACATGAAGAGGTGGTAACACTCCATGCTGTTAACACCAAGAGCCGGAACATGGCACATCAAGAGCTGACAACTACTTGACTCTTTAAATTATGTTATATGACATTTTTTAAAAAATGTAAGTATAGGAAAAAAATTAGAACATAAATTTATTCGAATTCAACAAGGAAAAAAAAAAAGATCTCACGAGAATAGGTTCCACTAATTCCAGACTGTGTCAAACATCTTTGCAGTTCTTCAGCATCCACCTCCCCGTCCTGTTAAGAAATCATGATAATATGATGTAATGTGCAATTGTATAAAAGTATATTAGGATGTTAATTGACTCCTCTAGGCTAATCAAGAAATGTGCAAACTTCAAAACATTATTCACAACTACAAAATTCTACTAACAGCAAAGAAATACTACAGGACATGCTGGCTTCACTTCTGAAAATCAGGACTCTCATTCTGTGTATAATAGTTCAAAACAATATGTGACAGTCATTTTTGTTTTCTATTTAAAATAGAAAAATGCCTAAAATGTTCTCAGAGCACTCTCGCAAACTTTCCAACTCTTACCCATTTTGGGGGAAGGGATTATCTCTAAAGAAAAACTTTACACTGAAGCTTTTATGGAAGAGAAAATTATCTTTTATGTTTTCCTCACCATTACCTCTAGCAAATTTTTGGAGTCCCTCCACATCTTGTTGCTATTCTTCTGATTATTGTCCAAACATTCCTGCTTGATTTTATTGGAAATAAATATTTTTACATACAAACAAGAAATCACAAAGGAAATGAAACAGGTTGAGTGTTCTCATCATGTTCAGTACCTAATGGATTTTCTACACAAATACAAAGTAAAATAGTTCATGTGGAAATATCATATACAATGGGTTTCCCTTCTAAAACACAATGGGCACCCAGCCTTCCAGAGTTTTGAGATTACAGGCATGCGCCACCACGCCCAGCCATCACACTGCTTTTAAGTAACCCACAATTCCAAGTGAGATGAAGCACTGGATTCATGAAAACATGTCAGGCAACAGTGGACCACATATATGGCAGTACTGGCATTAAGATTTCAAAGGACCTAGCAGGAGGTTGGTAGGCCCCTGGGGGTAGGCCTTCAAAGGCGACTGTGGAACTCAATCCTGGCCTCAACGTCTCACTACCTGCTTCTTGGTCCATGAGGTGAGTGGCCTTCAATCATGTATTCCCACCATGTGCTGTCCTGCGCCAGAGTCCCTAAGGGATGCAACTTTCTGATCCTGGACTAAACTCTTCAATGAGACAAAATAAACATTTTATCTTTAAAAGTGAATTGTCTCAGGAATTTCATTAATACAAAGCTAATACACCGAGTGATATCCCAGACTTTGTGATGTCATACCTAGTACAATGTATTACTCACATGATTGTGGTGATGCTGAAAGGAATAAACCTATTATGCGGCCAGTCACATAAAAGTATGGCACATACAATTATATATAGTGAAGAATATTTGATAACAATTATGAGCCATTATTTTACTGTTTTACACATTTGCTATACTATATTTTTATCAATAAAATGTATTCTTCCACTTAATGTATTTTTAACAGTTTACTGTAAAACAGCATGCCATCTTATACTAGTAGCAACATCATTACTTACCATGTTCTTGACTGCGCCAACATGTGTGAGGTTACTGACTGTGAAGAAGTGATGGGCCTACACCAGCAATTGGAAACCTTTAAAGTTTTCAATCGTACAAACAGCCCTCTGCAGCAGGTAGGCCAGAGGTTCACTACCACTGACCTATAGCATCATTATGGTTCAGAACATACCCTAGTAATTAATCAAGGCATGGCTGTGATTGTATTATTTTTTCTTCACTTGTATCATTATGATGTATTTTATTATGATTTTATATTTATTCTCAATGATATAGTCTATCAGATAAACTTCAGAAGCATATTGGCAAGTGCCAAGTAGAAAAAACAATTTAGGAATTTGGTTCAAGTAATACTTGTCTCGGGGGAAAAAAATAAGTATCTTGTTTTTTCCTCTGCTTTCACACCATAGTTAACACAGATTTCTGTTACAAAATGCTTAGAAAATTCTCCCCACCAGCCAGCAAGCAACTGATTTTGCAGCAGGCTCCAGCTATACAGTCCAATCCAATTTAGTTTCAACAGAATCTACTTGGAGAGCACCTAAATCCACAGGTTGAGGGATCAATTCCCAAAATTGACCCGACTTCAGACCCAGGCACACATCCAGACTTCAAGAACTTCTGAATGACTGGTTACGAACTGGGGTTCCCATGATCTCTTCCTTCGTATGAGATTAATTTGCTAGAGGGGCTCAAACAACTAAAGGAGCCGGGGATTTAGCTCAGTGGTTCGGTGGCCTGCCTTGCAAGCACAAGAACCTGCATTCAATCCCTGGTACCAAAAACAAACAAACAAACAAAAAAACTAAAGGAAAGGCTATACTTTGATACACTGGTTTATTCTAAAGGGCACAAATAAGTAGCCAGTGAATAGACACAAACGGTGATGGCTGAAAGGGTCCTGAGTGCAGGGGTTTCGGTCCCTTGTCTGTGGACTTAGGGTATACACAACCTTCCCAGCACATATACCACGTCTTGTTTGCTTTCCTCTGAGGGTCCCTGTATTCAAGCAATGCTCTCTGCACACTCCTTTTGGGGTTTTATGCAGACTTCAAGGTATAGGCATGATTGCTAGTAGCCTTCCAGGTCGGAAAGCCCATCCAGGCCTGTCTACTCAGACATTTGGCCTCTTATGCTACATTCCTTCCTCTGGGCTAGGGAGCAGGTTCCTCTGCAATCACGGAGTGTCTTCTGACTTAAAACCAGATACAATACATCAAGTAATTTCACTATGACCTTCTAAGGACAGAGGAAGTTTAGTCTCTGTAACTTGCTTTGGGAAACAGAAATTCTAGTTTGGATGCTCTGCGTTGGGGGAGAAACTATGATCCAAGAATCACAGGCAAAATATATATGTGTGTATATAACCACAGCTATATTCTCGTCAATCTTAAATATTTACCCCACACTTTATTTCGTATCAAATACAACTACTAACTAAAACACATCGGCATAATATCTACCTATATCACTTGAAATTTCATTAAGATAATGTAAATAAGATTACTCTAAAAGGAATATGTTGTAGTAAAATAGTAGGAATTGTAAGCATAAAATAAAAAACTTCATCTGACAAGAGTAATTATATTGTCAGTTCACTAAAAAATTCACACACAGAGCTGAGAGATCTGATTTATCGGGCCCAAACTACCAGTTTGTTCTAAAGGCAACTTTTTAAATATTTGTTCAACTATATTAGAGACAAATAATACACCAGTAAGATATACTTCTTTGAACTTTTAGTTAAATATAGAAAAATAAGCCCCAATATGATTATTTTGATTATCTCCTTGGAAAATTTGCCTTGTAAATCAAAACTGCTAAAAATGACATAACTTCACTTGTGGACAAAAGTAATTTCTCAACTTGAATAAATTTATGATATTTTGAAGTGATTTCTTATCTTACTACTTGACATACTTAGGTTTTAACTGATGAGTGCGTGTCTGTATTTTTTATGAGATTTATGCTCAAGTTAAAAATATTAATTATTCTAAAAATCTCTTAGACTCCTTCATTCAGAATTCCAGTACTCATCTTTGCCAGACAGAAAAGAATATTCAGGCTAAATCTATTAAATTTGTATTATCAGTCACTCAAGGAGAGTAAGATGCTTCTCAGTGATAATCACAGTTAACGAATGAAAGAGATTTAAATGATAGATAAAGGATAATCCAAAAGAAGATATTATGTAAGTATTATAGGTCCAGGGATTTAGCTCAGTGGTACCACTGCCTGCCTCACAAGCACAAGGACCCGAGTTTGATCCCCGGTACCAGAAAAAAAAAAAAGTATTACAATACTAGAGCTTTGGTAGAGTACTTAACTACTAGTAAGAAGATCCCTATTTAAAAGAATTTCAGCAACAGAGGAGTCTTTGTCCATACTCTGTTGCTATAACACCAGGGTCGGGTAGTTTTTATAAATAAAAGAAATATAGCTCAAGTTTCTGGAAGTGAGGAAAGCAATGAGATCTTCTCAGGTTTTAATAAGGCCGCATGCTGCTCTAAGCATGGCAGAAAAGTGGAGAAAGCAAGTAGGAGTGTGCAGAAGAAAAACACATGTGCAAGAGAGAAAAACAAACATGCCTGGTTCACTTGAAAATAAACCCCTCTCAAGCTAACTAACCCAGTCTTTCAGGAGCCACATTCAGCTTTTCACTAGAGGAGAGCTCCATGACCTAATTATGGTACCTCTTAAAGGTTCTATTACCTCGAAATATAGCTACAATGGCAATTAAATCTCAATACGAGTTTCAGCGGGGACATATCACATAAAAGCATAGCAGAAAGCATGCTAATATGGACAAATCAGATTTATTTACTCTTGACAGTTTTTTTCTCTTTTACTTAAATGAATAATATATCACAAATCATAACACCAAACTTTTAAAAAAGAAATAATGACAATGGCCCTCATCTCTAAACTCAAGAAAAATTTGGTCTAGGTAAGTTTAAAACATAAATTTCAAATATATTTTAAATGATATGTTTTTTTAAAAGTAGCGATCACTTTAGTAAAACAGTATGTAGGTAAATAATCTTATCACCTCACCTGTCCAGCAATAGCAGTGAAGTAAGTCCACATGGAGTCACCAGCTGAAGAGTAGTTGCCCATATATGCTGTGTGCACAGGCTGGTATCCCCCAGGGTACAAGTTTGGACCGGGCTGTCCCATCTGCATCTGTGGTCCTGGTATCTGACCACCAAAATTTCCAAACTGTAAGACCAAAAGAGGAAAATGTTAATAATATTATGGTTACCTACGAAAGTTAGTTTGATAGAAAATGTTTATTAGAAGTCTATTAAAAATAAAAATACAGTGATCTAAAGCTTTCAAACATGACTATCATAAAATCTACAAAATATTGAATAGCCTTTATTGAGACCAACTTGACATGTTATCCAGCATTAAAAAAAAAACATAAAAGTCTCTAGCCACTCACAACCTAATTTAACAGAAAAATATGAGTTATAATTTTTAAGTTTTTATCATAATCCTCCTTCACATAAACAAAAAGACACTAAGATTTCATCTATAATGAAGCTAATAAATATACATCAAGACACATTCTTAGAAGAAAATATGATAAATATAATGAAAGTGTGCCCTAATCACATAAGTACACATAGCTGAAATATCCTCTCTACCATAAAGCATTTATTTTTAGAAAACAAGATGACATACAGACATATGCATTATATATATATATGTATGATACATAATACTTATATAAAAATCACCAGGATAACAATAATTATCTAATACATGTTGAGTTTTTACATCCCAAGTACTATCCTAAGCACTTTCTATTTACTACGTTATTTGATTTCCACAACTCCATGAGATGTGAAAATACCATCCCTTATGTATTTTTAAAAGCAAAATGACAAAGAGTTAAAAAAATTAAGACTATAAAAATAACAGTACTACTATGGTAACAAAAAGCAGCTAATATGCATTGGGGCCTGTTATATTCCAAGTACTACTGTAAGCACTTTCCATCTATTATGTTTGATTTTCACAACTCTGAGATAGATATAGAAGTATATGTTTTTGCAGTTCAGAATTTGAAGTGTAAAGTTTTCCTTAATTGATCAAGGTCAAACATTTAGCAAGTCCTAGACTGTATATTCAAATATAGAATATCTGACCTCAGAAGCTACACATATATTTAATTTCTGCTATGGGTCTGACTGCTCTCTTTTCTTTTTTTTTCAATTTGGGACAGTATATATTTTAATACCATCGAAAGCATTTTATGAATCAAGAGGAGGAAGAGGTATTAAGTTTTTTTATTATTCTATTTAGAGCAAAAAATCTTCCTAACCTGCAAGTAGAAGGATAATCAGAGATTGTCCTAGGGAGAAAGAAAAAAATTACAATTATAAGGGATGAGAAAAAAATATGGTGTGGAGGAAATACTGGAGCTCTAAGACAGTCGCAGGCAATCCAAACCAGAGTATGAAGCAATGAAACCTAAGATAGGAAACAGGAAACATTAAAACAGAAGAGACTGAGCCCCAAATATAATTGTTCAAGAAAAAAAAAAAAAGAGAGAGAGAGACTGACAGGAACAGGACAAGATAATTTCAGAAATAAAAAATTAAAAAGGTATATAACAAGAAATATAATTTGAAAAATATGACATGCTAGAATAAGATGATGCACTCTAACACTGAAGATACACAGCTTCGATAGGCATTAAATGCCCTTAAAATGCTGGTAAAGGGCAAGTTTCGGAGCCAATTATCTGGAAACACAGCTAAACCCAGAAGTAAAAGGATTATGTTGTGAGTTTGTGACAGTCAGGAACAGTTGGTCTTTGCAAGAACACGGAGGATAACCAAGGCCTAGAACAGAATCAGTAATTTAAAGGCCTACTGGAGACTCCCCTCACCTTAAGCTTCAAACAAGGAAGAAAAACTTAAAGATGATTTATAAGAAGAGAGGCCAAGCTAAATATAAATATATTAATGGAACAGTAATGTTGACAGTGCCTAAAGCCCCACTATGGACCCTCTACTGCCGCACCTCAATTTTAGTCTTGAAAGACAAGTGCATCTTCTTTTGTAACTAAAGTCAGATAAACAGTACTGTACGAAGAATCTGTCTTTAGGGATTACCTCTATCTACCTTCCTTTCTCACTTTGCAACACTGATTTTCTGAAAGCCAGTAATTTGAGAATCAGCAGGTAGTCAGATTAAAGATAGTTGCACATTCTATGTGACTCTTCCCATTCAAAAGCTAAGTCTCCCTTGAATCTGGGCGGGCCTGTATTCACCTTTATCTTGTAGAATATGGCAGAAACAGCCCCATGTTGTTTCTAGGTGTCAGTCTTTAAGTCTTTAACTAGCAGGAAGAATGCGGTCATCATGTTCTGAAGAACTCAAATAAACATGTGTGCTAAAGAACAGGGATCACGAGGGGCAGGATTTGGTCAGTGGCTCTCAGCATCTGTGTTTATGCCTCTAGTCCCTTCCCCCATTGCCACAGCAATGAAATCAGCTGACTCTGAGCTGAAACTGTCGAAAGCTTGAACCAAAATGACTATTTCCTCTTTTAGATCGTTTTTTCTCAGGTATCTGGTCACGCAATGCTAAACTAACACAGGGGTAGAAACTGGACAGTGGGAAGATATCAAAAGGAATTCAGGTCAGTTTTTAAGCAAATCAATTTTAGGAAACAGTATGGGTTTGAATTGTGGATCGAGAATTTTTTTTAGTTTAAAAAATAATTCTTACTCCCAGGAAAAGGAATAATTCCTTTGAAGATCTCTATTAATTGCCACTATCAACTCCTATATTTGCAGATTGTTTTTAAGTGAAACGAACAAATAATACAAATAATAACAGCAAATGTGCTTCTGCCCTCACCCCCATAGCTCATCCCACCCTCCCACTGTGTAAACACAAAATGTGTGCACTGCACTTTGAAGATCACTGATGTAAATACTTAAGACGGGTTCCTTTCAAAACAAGAAAGAACTAGTCACAGGTACTACAGTTACAACTCCTCTCAAAGTATTTAAGTAAGAAAAATCTTCCTTTCCTCCAAAAATAAATGTCTAGAAAAACAAAAAGCCATATAACTGAAAAGTTCAAGAAGCAGAGTATCTCAATTTATTTACAAGCAATTTAAAAACAAGAAGATTGGCCAATATTTAGAAAGAGGTTCTCCAGCAAAACTGATTACTGGACCGAGAAATGGGTGTTTCCTTTCTCCATTCCGGGACGGAAAGGTGTGAGAACAGGTCACCTTTTGGGGGGATCCTCACGGACCCGGCACCTGCGGCTCAGAGTCCCCCCAGGCTCAACGCGCAGAGTCCGGGGCGGCGCGGTACCAGCTCACCGCCCGCAAAGCCACCACACGCGCGAGGGCGGAGGTGACGGCGGAGCGGCTAGGACTCACCCCTCCGCCGTAGGCCGGGTGGGCCATGCCGAGAGGATCGCGTCACCGGTGGTCACCTTCCTAGTCGGCGTCGCCCGGGTGGGAGAACCGGGACGCGGGTACCGGAGCAGCTGGGGTTTGAGGAAAACGCAGCCGGGTCCTTCAGGCCTTCAGACCCGCCCCGTCGCCGGAGGCCAGACCCGGCCCTCCCGCTTCCGATTGGCTGAGTCTCTCCCGCCGAAGCCAATAATGCAAGACCCCGCCCCTTCCAGCAGCCTTGTCCCACCCTTCTCGGCTCTTATTGGCTACATCCTGTCGCACGCAGCCTAACTCATCCCTGCCTGGTTCTCAGTGGCTCTTAACCCAAGAATCCTTTTCCTCTGTAATTCTCACGCCCTCTAGAAAGCTTCTGCAGGACATCACGTCGTAAGTTCTTTAATTCCCCAAAACCTGAAATCAAACACTCAGTGACTTCTTTTAAACTGGACTCTTGACCTGAACTTCAAGTACTACACACCTGTGAATATCAAAAGTTGTCTATATTTACTTTTGCGTGGTGTTAATGTCACAAGAAAGCTTTGAAGTCACGACTACAGCTGTACCCCTAGAGAACAACTTCTGCCTTAAGATCCTCCAAATTTAAGAAAAGATTATTTGTAGTTCGGTACATAAAAGATGACAATAGTTGTGAGAGGTAGTCGATGAAAATGCAGGAGTTTGAACCAGGGATTTAGCTCAGTGGTGCCGCCGCGTGCCTCACAAGTGGATCCCTGGTGCAAAAATAAACAAAAACAGAAGTTCTGGTTAAATTTGATTTTTAAAATAAACGAATTTTAGTGTGTGTCCCAAATATTGTACTTTACTATATTTTAAAAATTATATTTACTGATAATGTTGATAATCCAGGACACCCTGGAAAGTATATGACAACCCTGCCTGTGACGCAGCTTTTAGGCAAACTCTTAAACCATGCTTCCTTAATTCTGTACACTGGAAGGACAGTCTATTTATTTATTTGTTTAATCTTTTAAGAGTCTTACACTCCACCAACCGAGCTAGCCAGGTACTATTTTTATTTTTTAAATGCGTGGTTATTTTAGTTTATTAAGTGATAGCCGATGGGCCTGGGGGGACTCTGAGCCGAAGCTGCCGGGTCCATGAGGATCCCCCCAAAAGGCGACCTGTTCTCACACCTTTCCTTCCCGGAATGGAGAAAGGAAACACCCATTTCTCGGTCCAGTAATCAGTTTTGCTGGAGAACCTCTTTCTAAATATTGGCCACTTCTTGTTTTTAAATTGCTTGTAAATAAATTGAGATACTCTGCTTCTTGAACTTTTCAGTTATATGGCTTTTTGTTTTTCTAGACATTTATTTTTGGAGGAAAGGAAGATTTTTCTTACTTAAATACTGTCTTACCTGCATCAGCTTTGAGAGGAGTTGTAACTGTAGTACCTGTGACTAGTTCTTTATTTTTTGAAAGGAACCCATCTTAAGTACATATTTATCCATTAACATTTTTTGTTTGTTTGTTTGTTTGTTTTGAGACAGGGTCTCACTATACAGTTGAGACTGACCTGGAATTCACTATGGAGCCCAGGCTGTTCTCAAACTCACAGCGATCCTCCTGCCTCAGCCTCCCGAGTGCTGGGAGTACAAGTGTGCACCGCCACGCCCGGCTTTAGTTGCAAAATATTTTTAAAGTAAAACTTGACCAGATTATTTTTCATCTTAATAAAATGATAACCTATGACATGTGTATAGTCTGAATGAGTAAAGTTCCAGTCTTAGAGCTTTTAAAGTTATTTAAAAATGTGAGAATTAGGTGATAAAACATTGAGTTGCTTGAGTTATTCAATATTAAAAGTTGAAATAAAAGCAAAATCCTTGGTACTCCCTCTTGTAAAGTTCCTGAAGGTAAGAACTGCAAGATATACTGACATAGAAGAGTCATGATCAGTGCAGATGCCAGAAACCTTGAATGGGTCACAAAACTCAGTTTACTTTGCTTTCCAGTCTTTAACCATAAGACTCATTTGCTGACACTCCTGCCAGAAAAATGTAGGTGGCACACTCAAACACACTAATGAAGACATTGTAACAAAGTCACTATTTAGAAAGATAGCAACACAGATAGACACAGAAAAGAAGTACAATGCCAATGTAAGCAACACAGAGGCCCCATTGCCAGCCTTAAACTGAAGATGCAAGATTGGGAGGCAGTTATTGAAACCTAAACAAGAGATACTGTATGAAGAACTCATCTGGGTGGGCGGATGTGTAAAGAACCAGACGAACTATAGCTGGAGGAATAAATACCCAAACTCACTCTTCTCCCCTACTGCTGATCTCCTGCCAGGGCTTCTGAAGGCTGAACCTAATCAGAACCAAAGCAAAGAAAATTCTCTAATGCAGCCAGAGAAATTTCAGTCACCTCGCACACAGAACAATGTAGAGCAGGGTGAGGAGCAGATCTCAGGGACCACTAGAAAATACCAACTGTCTTAGTCACTTTCCCCCTCCCTGGGATGAAATATCTGACACGTACAATTTAAAGGAGGAGATGTTTATTTTGACTCTTGTTTCAGTTCATAATTCACTACCTCAAAGGAAAGACAGAATGTCAGAAGGAAGAAAGAGGGTCATAGCATGACAAACCGGAAACAGAACATCAATCACCCCAGGGACCTCTTCCTTCTTCCGTGGCCTCCCCTTGAAAAGGAAGTCAGCTCTAATGCCCTCATAACGCAATCACCTTCCAAAGGTCCTGCTTATGATCACACAAGGCTTGCGGGGAGAGGGCCTTCTCAATATAGACCATAACCCCAGCCACACTGAAGAAAGAAAAGTTCCAAAACTCACACTAACACCCCTGCCCCAATTAGACTCAACCTTTGTGATTTTTTCCAGAAGGAAAGGAAAACTTCAGGACAATAAACAAATATCAAATAATTATATTAAATAGTGCATCTGCTTTTTAAAATTAAGTCCAAATATATGACTGAGAATCAAGCACACAGAGGAGAAAGATAGAAAAGGAGGGAAAGAGAGAGTGAGAGAAAGAGGAACACATTGTTATTCAACCACCATTATTACAGTAAAGACCTGGGCCACAAGGTACAAGAGGAACTATGGTAACCGGCCCAAGAGGAAGGAGGGGAGGGAGGGGAAAAGAAAGGAGAATGTTACCTAGCAACTGAATATTTTGGCAAGACTTTAGCCATAAGTTGTCTAATGAAATCATAGTTAGTGATCTCAGAAAATATAATGAAATAAAAAGAAAATACAAAAAAGGTATGAGTGGGAACACAGGGGAGAAACATTTAAGCATAAAGGTAAGAAAGATCAAATTATTTTTTTCAAATGATTTTTATATTAAACTTCTTACGTAAAACATCTTGCTGTACATTATTTTTAATGAATTTGCACATAAATCAAAAGTTAAAGGAAAACAAACTGATATCTTTTGTTGGTTTTTTTGTTTGGTAATGGGAATCAAACTCGGGACCTTGCACTTGTAAATTGCTGTCTTTTGGAAAAGCATGCGTCTCCTTTAACCACTTGATGCAGACAATAAATAACAAACTCAGAGTTTGAACAATTTCTCTATACTAAAACTGATTATTTTAAACTTTATTAACACTGATTTTCATTAATTCACATCCACACGTTTAAAGAAGTTATGTTAAGTGACTATGCTAACTCTCAAAGGACACGTGTAATAAATATTTTACGAATTGACAACTGATTCCCAAGTTTATCTGTTGCCTGTGTGATATGGGCAAGGATAAGGTAACTTCTCTGAATCTGGGCTTCACCTTTGTAAAATGACAGTATTTCCCATTAGAAAATCAACTAAGCTTTTTTATGTTATGACAGAAAATCCAACTCAGTATGTCTAAACAAGTGAATTGTGGCTTCAGATGAGGCTTTTCTGGCATTTTAAAGACTCTTTCTACCTCTCCCTTTTGCCTCATCCTTAGGGTAGAAGAGAGGTAGCCTCCCCACCCTGGATCCGGAAACAGCCTAGTGTCACAAATAGCCACAGGAATTTCCACTTTTATCTCTCTAGAACTAACTGGGCAACACATCCACTGCTCATCCTAATCACCAAACTTAGAGGTGGGGTGTGTTGATCATCTTAAAGAAATCAGGTCCCAACCCTGTGTCTTTCTCCTTTCTTGGAAATGGGTTTCCAGAGACAATCTAGAAGCAGTCTTAACAAAAAAACAGAATAAATAACTAGGAGAAAAATGACAGACCCATTCAGAGACTCATAATTTGTGAAGAGGAAATGTGGTAACATACAGAAATGTGGTAACATAGAGTCTGTAACACAAGCACTCTGGGCAACTTAATTTAAAATGACTTCCTTTCCAAAATTGAGCACAGGATAAGCAGCACATGTGATGAGGTAGAGAGGATCGCAGCCTCTGCTCTTATAAAAGCTAATACTTAATAATAATTTACTTAAATGGTACAAGTGGAATGCCTTCCAACGTAGTTAAGAGTGGATTGTTAAAACCCCACAAGGTGGCAGCAGAGGAAACATCATCTAAGGGTAACAGTGCAGAGAAGGCTGAAGAAGGAAGGAAAGGAAGGTTTCCCACACACTACCTCCCTGAGAAACACACGGATACACACAGTGCCCAGGATTTGGCCTGGGCTGTTCTGTGTGTACCGGCTCCTCCGAGAAGACATCTTGTCATGCAGGTTCTGGGCTCATGATGAGCATTAGCAGAAGCTGGCTTTCTCTGAGAACTGCGGTCCAGAATGCCTTTTGTGAGAGAAGTTCCTGGTTTTGTTTTCTGTGCAGTCTTTTGTGCGTGTTCCACAAAATTAAATGTTAATATTATTCTTAATCCCTAATGAATAGAATGAAGCACACTTAACGAACATAGAAGCAATCTGCTGCTGAAATAAAGCATTTCTGAAACATACAGCACAAAACACTCATAGTCAGTTCCTGCAGCCTTACCTACTTTTGTCTATTCTAATCATAAACCCTTCAGCTTGAAGTATTTTAAAATACATCCTTTGGAGAAATACAATAATTTGGACAACTTTATACTTCACTGAGAAAAATCACTAACATAGTATGCATATATGTCTTTTGAGTTTTTAAATCTGTATCTGAAGGAGAAAACAAATGAATGAAATAAAATCATCTATCCTAAATAAGTCCCAAAACTTTGAATAAAGATTATTAGGCACTAAGTAAAATGCTTTGAGAGCTGCTAAATTTAGATATTCACAACACAGATACTCATATAGAGAAACATAGCACACATACTATTAATTAGGAATTCAGAGGAGAAAGAATTTCATTAACTTAGGAATGATCAAGAAATATTTTAATAATGCATACTATTTTGCTTTATTAAATGTGGGATAATTTGTGGCCTGAATGAACAGATGTGTCATCTTTTCACTCATTTACCAACTTTACTCACCCTATCTTTCATTTGCAAAAATAGCAGCATAAATCACTAACATCTTTTTTCCTCCCTTAAGAACATGGGATAGAAGCTCCAGAACTTGCCCAGCCTGCCCTGAGCTTGACTCTAGGAGACACTGATGGGATGAAGGCAGCTGCCTGGACTGTACTCAGACTGCCACTTGCTGGGTATAGAAGTACATAAATGAGGAGTCAAATGAAAAGGTTCTGATGAAATATTTCTGTTACTACAAGAATTCTTTAACATTTTGACCTCCCAGCATGGAGATTTTCAAGTGTTTTACGAAAATAAAGAACCCCAAAATAAAAATACATAACTACAAAACCAGAAAAAAAAAATCCTGTTGCCTTTGAAGTAAAGAGTGGGGCCCAGGGCTTCACACACTGGGTCTGTATCACTGAGGGAACAGTGAATCTCTGCAGTTTGAATATTATTCGAAAGTCATCAGAGACTTGCAACAAAAATGAGCATATATTAGTTTTATGTGGGAGTTGAATTTCCTGGTAATAGCCCTAACTTTCCTTTTTATTATTGGCAAAAATATAAGTAACTCCAGTTTCTTACTTTAAAGGTATAGGCGGTTTTTAAACAATGTAGAACTTGTTCCTCCAGTCCCTCATTTTTCTTTGATGAACCAATAGGTTGGAAAACTACCATGGAGATAGGCAACAGTTAGGCAAACGGTAAGCAAACATTCCTATAAAGTAACTCTAAATCAGATTCTCTACACTTGCTACTTTCCTCCAGTTTACAGACAGTAAGTGGCTTTTTCTGTTAAATCAATGTGATTCATTTTTTTTCCCAAACAGTAGCTACTGCCTTTGCTCTGAAGTGTCTAAGGTGCTACTGACTTGAAGTTATATAGTTTTTAATACATAAGTTATATTTGTTCTAACCAAATACATTGCACTACCCAGATCAATGTATCTGAGAGACAAAAGTTCCAAACTACAGCATATTCCTTAACCAACTGCTAAAAGTACATGTCCATTTAAATCATAGCATTAGTCAAACTGAACTATAAATAATTCAGGAATATGCTTACGAAACACAATCCAATACAGCATAGTACTGAAATGCTGGCTGGTTGTTACTAAGTCCAGGAAGGAAGGCTGCAGAAAAAGTATGTTAGGTAAGTTTTGTTCAGGTATAAGTTACTGCACTTTTGGTCATGAGCAATTCAATGTTAATGAACCAAATATGTATGGATTTAAACAGAAATACATTCAAAACAAGGCTATGTATTGATCAGTTGATGAAAATGTGACCAGATACTAAAAGAAATACAATCCTGGATGTCCTCTAGGAATAACAGCTCGATCACCACAATGTACTGCTCCTAAGAACTGTGCAGAATACAACTACCAAAAAAAAAAAAAAAGTATTACCTATTGTGTCCTGGACCGGCCCCAGGCTAGTGGAAAGTCGTGTCTAGTTCTCACCTCTAACTGGAAAGTGGAAGCACAAATGGGACTGAAAGGGAAAATAAATGACACTACAGTTCCAGTCCTGAACATTTTGATGCAAAGGTTAATTTTAAACATCTTTCCATATAACTCTAATCTGCAGAAAAGTTTGAGAACATTTTCTCAGATGGTCATGTGGCTTACTTTGCCACCACAAGAAGGAATTAAATGGACTTCTCTGGGGTTTTCTGTTAAAATATCCTTTAAGGGAAGTGTGTGTGTTCGGAGAAACAAAACTGGAAATAGAAAGCAATTTTCTTGCATTTCTCATCATCCTTTTATTTTAATATCCAAATAAAAGGCCTCAGTCCTGTGTCAGTAATTTACTATTAAAAATAAGATTTTTTGATCTGATCATTAAAAATATTTAAACATATACCACCCCCACAATGTGTATGTATTTATTTAGAAAGTCTTTAAGGGTAAAACTATAAGATTACAAAATACAAACATAACTACAAAACTAAGAAATAGGTGAATGAAATAAGATTTTTAATGTAATTTATGTAATGTATTGCACTGACAATAAAAATATTTTGTGGTCAGCAATGTTTTGATTTTTAAAAATTTTAGTTTAATATTTTGTGATTTAGAAATTTAGAAGTTTGATTCAATGTATCTCAATATTTGATTTCAACAGTTCACCCTATAGCCCTCTTGCTGCCACTTCAAGAATTTGTCAGCTGTAATATAACAACAATATTCAACAATTTGCATAAAGTGAGTATGAAGCAACTAGAACAGTCAGCTCTCAATCAAAATGGACACAGTGTGAATCATCTAAGTGTTCACTAGCTAAATGTTAACAAAGATTGTTGGGCTAGGACAATAGCAGTCTACTTACCTTTCATCACAGCTGGCTCCTAAGTATTTATTCCAAAATAAAGTAAAAGAAGCACAATTATGCCTTTATGACAAAAGTACTGTTTTAACAAAAACGTGTGAGGAACTGATTGTGAAAGCAATTGAGATCTGGTAGAAGCAGTTGGAAAATTGTCAAGTGATATGTGATTTGATTGCCAAAACTGTTTGCTATGTAGAAGGACTTCCATACATACACATTTAAAGACAGAACTTGAATTTAATTGGAAGAAGTAATTAGGAAATAAGTATCAAGAGGTAGTAAAAGTCAGAATTCTTTTCTATTTTGGGTATACTAATGTTTTTGAAATATAACAAAATACTCTATAATAAACATTCCGGCCATTCACATTCTGCCAAAAGGTATCCTGGGTAAAGCTCAGTTAAATAACCGGATATTACATATTTTGTACATAATGAAATTCCTTTAGAAATTGTGTATTGTTTGAGGACTGGTATGTGCATTTATACATGCACACTGGGCTATTTATAATCATTTATTGGGCAATGAACAATCCACGCTTAGTAACAAATACTTCACAGTCCATCCTTACTACAACCTTATGACACAAAACTGGTATTGATTTCACTTTACTGTCGGTGTATTTGAGGTGATTTTCCTGACCAAATAGCAATTAAAAGATAGTGCTGAGCTGGGGATTTAGCTCAGTGGTTCAGTGGCCTGCCTTGCAAGCGCAAGGACCCGAGTTCAATCCCAGTACCAAAAAAAAAAAACGATAGTGCTGAGATGTGAACCCAGACTCAGAGTCTGAGCTCAGAGTCTCTGAGCTTACACACAACTCCATACTGCTAGGTTAAGGACATCTAACACTTACATTACACACTTATTGATAGTATTTAGTAAACAAATGAAGGAATGGAATAACAATCTGAAAGGATTTTCTCATTAAATTGTCGTTCTCTTAAAAAAATGACATCATTTAGTATACAGCCATTAAATTATAAAGGCAACTATGAATTTTCCTATTTCTTAAGCATTAAAAATTCAAATAAGAATCTGGGCAACAATAACAATCTGTTATCTGTGTAGGATCTTCCTGAATTATCATTCAGAGAACAAAATGCTAAAGTGTTTGGGGAAGATTTTAAAAAGAACAGACATTCAGAAAGCAAGTAAACAAACAAATACCACCAGCCTTTCTTAATTCAAAGGAGAAAGAAAAGAGAAATAAATTTAGAAAATAATGAGGAAAATGAAAATGAAAATTATTAGGGAAAACTTGACAGTGGAAAATACCTATTCAAAGAAAGAGCTAACTAACTCACAGAACAAAAGGACTATTTTTGAGAAATTGTGGCTTGGCTTTTGTTTCCTTATCCTTGTTTCTCCAGAAAAGATCTGTAATGGTTAATCCTGATTGGCTTGAGAAACACCTAGAAGATTAGTAAAGCACATTTCTGGGTTGAGTCATGGCTGGGTTGAGTCATTCTGGGTTGAGTGAGACTGTGGTCTGGTTCCTAGCCCTTACCTCCATTGCTCAGCCTTGTCCTTTCTGTTTCCTGGCTGCCATAACATGAGCAGATTTCTTCCCATTTCCATCTTCCATGAAGTTTGTGCCTTGAAGCAGCTGACCATGCACTGAAACCTCTGCATCTGTGAGGCAAAAAATTCTCTTCTGTAAATTGCATATGTAGATATTTCTCCCAGCAACAGAAAGATGACTAATACAAGGTCCTATGAAACTTATTGTAGACTCCTAAGAAAACTATATTCTATGCTCATTTCTGAATTCTCACTCAGCAGTTACTCTGCAGTAAAGGATAAATATGAACTGTTATTGATGAATATTATGTGGTGCTGACATAATAGGTTAACTGAGGATATATAATATATATGTAATATATATGTAATATATATATATGTATATATATATATATATTACAATAATCTTCACAGCATTCGTCCCTATTTGGCACACTGAATATATTTTAGTTGCTATTTATTATTTGTCTCCTCATTCTCATTTAGAAATAAGGGATCTATTAAAGCAGGGACTTTATTAAGTACACCTAGAACAGGGCCGATTATATACTAAGTACTTAGAAATGTTTTTTAAGTGATTAAGTGAATTCATGATACAATCTGAATACCAAACATTTAAATATATTTGACCCTTTATCTCCCAGGAAAGAAATTCTGTATTGTTAAGAAAATCACGTTTAATTAGCGATCTCTTTTCATTTCCCTAGTATTTGAAACCAAAATACACAGAATAGGTGCCAGGAAACAAAATGTTCATCAATTGGTTGGTCAGTTTATGCTGCAACACATTCAACAAAATGCATAGGCAGCTGGAAGCTGGGGGGAACACTTTTTTCAATACCCCTAAAAGATATTTTTGTATTTTCAGTCAATAAAATTAATAATTTGAATACTTCTGTGAAAACATCAAATTTGATTCACTTCTACTTGAGCAGAAAGTCAACTCCCAAAAAGAAGTAAATAAATAATAGTTTTTTATGAAGAACCAGAAAAGCAAGAACTTGCAAGGCCACAGTTCCGTTCACTGCACCAACTTGAACCATGTATTTGATATTGGGACAGCTGCTACAGTCAACTGAAACTCCTATTCAGAGGAGAAATCAATAAGGGCCTAGTACCATTTGTATTTTACTGGTTACCACAAATATATCCTTTCTCCAATCAATTTACAGTCTTGGGGAAGGAAAGCATTAGTTATAACATAATAAAGAATAAAACAAGGTTCTGTAAAGTGTTGATTTGCCTATTTTGCATAACCCCAGAATATACGTACCTATGAAGATAGTAATTCTCTCATCTTGTTAAAAGAGCCACCATGCTTTTCCCGGACTCTCAGACTCTACTGAAAATGCTTTACTAACAGATTACTTTTCCTAAATATGTATTTTTGATAGCCTAACTGGCCTTTCCATTCTCCATATAACCCAGGACCACGGGCTTCTTACTGTGCTATGAGTATACTACCCACAGTCACCCAGAGCTGTACCACTGCCTCCCTCCTGAGTAGCAACTCTAAGGACTCTTATTTATGTGGCTTCTGTACTGAAATGAAGCTGCCATTTTTCAGCGTGAATGTCTTTTTTTTTTCTCTCATGACATAGACAAATGTTGATGTTTAGTACAAGTCAGTACATTAGTTCCTAATTAAGTTCCTAGATGCTCCAGCCAAAACTTGCTGTATTGAATCCAAGAAAAGAATGGCAGCTATGTCAAAAATAAGTTGCTAGGGATTTTTGTTGTTGTTGTTGTTGTTGTTTTGTTTTGTTTTATTAAAAGAAAGTTGTCTATTAAAGACTATGGGGAACTACATGCTGGGACATAGGAAAACTTGTCTTGGCTTCCTCTTAAGATGAGTTGGTGGTCAAAGTCCCTCTGCATGTCACCAGGTCCTGGTCAAAGCTGCAAAAATGTTAGTAGGCAGCAACAAAGATATTTATTATTACTCACTGTATAACGCTCACTTCCAAGTCCCTGGAGGGACACATTATTCTTGGGAGCCCGGGTTTATTTTAGGAATTGCAGAGATTTCCTCCTGAGATCCTAGGGTCTTCTTGGCGTCATCTCTCCACCTGTCCCTTGCAGTTCCCCCCTCCCTCCCCCTTCTGTATGGGCCGGACTTGCTCATATTCACCAGCGAAAGGTTACCTACTGCCGGTTCACATCAGAGTCTGGGACAGTTCCTCTACATTTTCTCAGCTGGGAAGACCCAAATCACACACTTTTGTTAGTTCAAAAGAGGTCTGATTGTTGAAGCTGAGCCCCGCTGGGGAGACAACACACCGGCAAGAGGATCATTTCCAAAGGATTGCTGTCTTAGCCGGTGCCAGAGAGAGACAGCTTTCCTATTCCCCTCAGCGCCCTCGGCCAAAGACCAAAAGGTGGCTCCTCCTCCAGGAAACACACTCCTCCCTGGAAGATTACGTTAGCAAAGTCCTGACTAGAGAATCGAAACAAAAACCAAAGTGAGGCAAACTACAGGAGCCGGCCGGCCGGAAGAGTGGATACAGAGCTTTCTGCCGGGATCACAGCGCGGTCGCAGTCCCGGGGTCGTCTGCACCCTCGCGCGCGCCCTGCCACCCGCTCACCTGGCACCTGCTCACCTGTCCAGGTGAGATAGTGCTCAGCGCGGCCTGGGAGCCCCGCGGGACACCTGTCCCGAGACACAGCGCAGCAGACCTACGACTCCGCGGCCCCATCTGTGTCACCCGTGGGGCATCCAGCGGGGGGGGGGACCCGCTCCCTTCCGTGGGAACCGAGGATGTCGAACGGGTATTCCGCAGACAAGTGCTTCTGCCATCTGCTCTCCTGCTTTAGGACGCGATTGAAAATGTACATCCAGGTAGAGCCCGTGCTGGACTACCTGACCTTTCTGCCCATAGACTTGAAGGAGCAGATTGTGAAGACAGCAGACACCTCTGGGAACATGAAGGCAGTCGAACTGCTTCTGAGTACCTTGGAGCAGGAGCGGGACTGGGGCCCTGGCTGGACCCGGGAGTTCGTGGATGCCCTAGAAAGAGCAGGCAGCCCCCTGGCCGCCCGCTACGTGAACCCCAACCTCACCGACTTGCCCTCCCCGTCCTTTGAGGCCGCTCAAGATGAATGTGTCCAGCTGCTGACCCTTCTTCAGCCCACTCTGGTGGACAGGCTTCTGGTCAGAGATGTTCTAGACAAATGCATGGAGAAGGAGCTGCTGACTATTGAAGACCGAAATCGGGTAGGTGTCTTTTCAGGTGACGAAGCTGTGCTTCTGTACTGATTTTGCAAAGCGGGGGTATTTGTTTGCCCCATAAAGATGGTCTTTGACTTCTTTTGGCAAATCTAGTTTCCTCCTTTGCAAAGGGAATATGTAGGCACTTAAAACATAATTTTTAAACTTTAATCACAAAAGAACTAATTTTCTAATCCTTTCATCCCAATAATGAAACATTAGAGTAGGAATGTGCTGTATACTAACAGAAAATGCTATTGAACACTATGTGCAATTTTTGTAATTTTTGAGATGCATTTTCATAGCTCATGTTCAAAATAACCTGCAGAAAGCCCTAATATTATTAACTCTATCTTACAGATGAGAAAACCCAGTTAAGTTCAATAATTTGTTCATGGTCTCCCTGGAAAAAGGGTAGCAGAGTGAAGATCCTAATGGTATTCAGTTTTATGTTTTCATTAATGTTATTCCATAGAACAGGAGTCAGCATTTCGTCTTGCTACCCATTTTTGCAGGCACACAACTAAGAGCGGTATGTAGAGTTTTTAAATTTTTAATTTTTCTGTCTATAAAGTTTTACTGGAACCCAGTCATGCACATTTGTTTATATACTTTTTATGGCGGCTTTTTTTCAGTTAAACAGGCCACATGACCTGTAAAACCTAAAACATTTGTTATCTAACTCTTCAGAGTGTAAATTTTCCAACTTCGGCCCAGTACTATGCATTATGCTATTTAGTTTTGATCTAAATAAATTATATATAACACTTATCACATACACACACACACTCTGTCTTTAATCAGAATTTCTTCATTGATTGGAATCAAACTTTAGACCTAATTCACTGAACAATATGTTGCTATTTGCAGTTTTTCATATTTGTGAAGGAATAGCAGATTTTTTAAGGCAGCACTTTGTCAGGGTGACTTTTCCAGGTGTCTTTATACTTAATATAATGCTCATTATTTTTGAGCAGATGCAGATGTATCATGAAGCATATAAATGCTGACCAATTTGAACCTGATATTCAGTTTTAAGCTTTAAAAGGCATTTAGACAGATAAACACATAGCTTCAAATCAAACTTTGTCTATACTTTGTTGTGACTTTTTTTCTTTTTGATTTATCAATTGCATCTTCATGACAAAGTCCAGCATCAGATTGATTGGATATAGCCTATGTTCTGAGTTGGTCTTCACTAACTGAAGTTTATGGTCCTTTGAAGACTTGACAGCCATAGGGCCTATCCAAAGACCCAACTTGCATCCAATTGTGATGGCCAGTTTTCCCAACAAGTAAATTACTTTACACTGTTGTCTGTAGCATTTATGTCATTTTGTGTATTGAGAACCAACGAGAACGCATTATAGTAGTCCAGCTGGATATGACAAATGTGTACATCACTGTGGCAGAATCTTAATTTGGAAGAAAGTATGCAGCCTTCAAGCCAGCTGGAGATGGAAGATGGCATTTCCAGCCACAGTAGCTGTTAGGAAGTCCAGAAGCAACAGAGTCCAGTAACACCACAAAGCTGTTTGTGTTTGGTGGGTATGATGTCCCGATTGCCAGCGAAACAGCACTTCTCCTTATTTACTCTAAATACTTCTGCCTATCAGCATCACTTTTGTCTTGCCTGGATTCAATTTTCGCCAGCTACATTTTATCCAAGTTCTTGATTCTGGCAGGCTTGGAGGAAGCTAGCAGTAATTCAAGGGATTTGACACAAAGAAGATAGAGAGTAAAGGGACTTTCATGTACTGAGAGCTGTTAAGGGCAAAATAACCATTTTTTTCCTTAGATTCATTCTGTAAAGAGGCCTTAGAATAGTGAAGAGCTATGTATTTGAGGCTCTCTAAGGAACAATAGTGTCTCTGTAAGCAGCTCGTGATTTTTATATGCATCATTTTATATTATCACTTTCAAGCTATGACAGTAATAGAAAGGAAGCATTACTTTGGGGAGAATTTCTATTGATAAGAGAGTCATTGATGATATTTATCTTATAGGATCACAATATGAAGTGAGAGTCATAAGAATTTAAAATAGACATGGATTTCAGGTCTATCTTTGTGTCTTAATATAAGTACAACTTTGGGAAGTTATTTAAGTTTACTGATCCTAAGTTTATTCATGAAAATGCACATCATATTAATTTCTTTTCTCTCAGTACTTTAGTTAACATAAAATGAAAATTAGTGATTTATGGAAAGGCTTTATAAATAATAAAGAACTATTTTAATATGATTACACTGACTTTTGTTATCACTCATCTGGTTACATTTCCTTGAAGTGATCGTATAAGCATTTCCATAGTGACTGATAACAGTTTGAACAGTTGAAGAGGGGCACATGTTTTACCCCTGGCCAAAAACATTAAATACCTGTAGTCTTGATGCCCAATACATTTTCCATTTGGAGGCGAGAGCCACAGATACCAAGACTGGTCCAGCTAGAAACTGAGTCCAATTCCAACATGAAGTTGAGTGTCCAAGTAAATCTCCACAAGCTCATTGTATTGTTAGGGAATTTAGAAAGGACATACATCTTGGAAGAAGTAATGGGAGGAGGGGAGGAGGACATCAGGAGGAGGTGAAGTGGGGAGGAGATGGAGAGGAGGAGGAGGGAAAGAAGAAAAGGAGGGAAGAAGGAAAATGAGGAAGGAGAAAGGAAAGGAGGAGGAAAAGAAATAGGAAATTAATTGTATCGCTGACAATGACATGAAAAAAATCTTTGTTTTTAATATGTAAATTTTGCTTGTTGATTTACTATTGCAAGAGTGTTGAACTCCGCTAAACTCAGAAATCAGCATTATATTTAAATACAATATCTAAGATTAAGAGGAAATGAAAGCATTTTTATTAAAATGTATAAAGTTTTAGCAAGCTAGTATTTTATGAAAATGTCAGTTTCTGCACTTATTTGTGTTGGAAAGAAGAAGTACATCAAAGAATTTAGAACATGGAAGCATTGAATTGTCTCGCTCATAGTCATTTGTATTCTGTATTCTATGAATCAATTAACAGTGTTATCTAGACATTTTTAACTTGATTCCAAAGGGAATGTTGAATTTTCTAGCACCAGAAACGGGAAGAACTGAAAAGATTTATTGAAAAATTCCAAATCTAGGGCTGGGGATTTAGCTCAGTTGTTCCACCACCTGCCTTGCAAGCACAAGGTCCCGAGTTCAATCCCCAGTACCTAAATAAATAAATAAATAAATAAAATTCCAAATCTTGATAAGGCTACAAAACTGCACAGATATTATGTGTGTAGAAGGTAATGGCAGTGTGATCCACGGTGCCTGAACTCAATAAGGTAAAGAACTCTTTACAAGTATGATTCTCCAGTAAAAATCAACTTACCAGATTAATATTTGAAGAAAACTTGGAGGTTAAAATATGATTAGATTTTTAATAAAAGCATTCTTTACAATGTCCCATTCACCCTCTTTAGGAAAATACTTTTTCATTGCTCCTCTTAGACACAGTTTAACCTAACAAAAGAATAGGTTATTAAAAATAGTAATATTTTTAGTTAAAATAAGATTCTAAAATCAGTCTTACTATCACTTCTCAAATTAGCAGATAATGAAAATTTCCAAAACCAGAGAAAATAAAGAATTTCTATTACAGTATGAAGTTAGAGGAAAAATTAGGAAATGAGCATGCACCTGCTTAGATAATGCTAAGGAAGACATGGAGCAAAATCACTTAAACTTTATTAAGTTTAGAGTCATTTTAACCACTACTTTCCAGAAAATAAACCTAAAATTGAAGATCTTTAGTAACTAAAAATATTGCTTAAGAAAGCAGAATTCAGGCTCTACAATGTAGGATGAAATTCTACTTCTGCCACTAACTAGTCGGAGACCTTAGAGATGTAATTAAATATCTCTATCTTGAATTTCTGATCTGCAAAAGGGAGTTTTGGAACCTCCTCCAGTGCTGCTGGATTAGTATATGCATTATTTGGAACAGCATTCTTAACTATTAGGCAGTGAGACTAAAATATCTTTTGAGCAGACTGTACTGCACTTATTAAGTAGTATTATTAAATTAAGTAGTATCTACTGGTGAAATATTTGTAAAAGTAAATCATTTTCCCAGCTATTGTAATGATAGCTAATACAGTACTAAATATGTGTCAGACATTGTTGCAATGCTAGCAAATCCCTGATATTAAAAAGTTTTGGAGTATGATCATAGGACTAGAAAAGAGAAACATTTTGCAAGAAAAAATGTTAAACAATACAAATTACACACATGATTGGCAGAAGTTGAGAGATAATTTAAAGAATATCTAAGCCATTATTTCTCATGTAGGATGCTGATTAGAAACACATGAGATTGTTAAAAAATTGAAAAAATATGTGGATTTTCAATATAGACAAAGTAAATCAGTGTCTCTTAGAAGTAGCTCCTATACATAAACATCTAAAAAATCCCCACCAATGAATGAGTCTTAACATGCCACTAGGATGCAGAATTTCTAGAATCTCTTTCAGTTGCTTTGTTTTCCACATGGAGAAACTGAGGATCATGGAAATGACAGTGGACCCTAAAATTACAACTGGCCCCACATATGAACAATTTGGATTATAACTGGGATTTTAGTTTTAACTTATGACCAAAGTAATTTATTACAACCCAAATGGCATCCAATGCACAGTTGTAAACAAAGACTTGCAATGCCAGAAAGGTGTACTTAAGTGTATGTAAGCATCGGTCTGAGCCCAGATGCACGTTTGTAGACATGATTTCAGTAAACGCCTTATATAATCACTATGATTACTGCTATCAGAATGGCCCCCAAAAAAGCTAGAAAAGAAACTAAGGATATAAGGGAAGGTTAAAAAAGCAAATCATAATCGAAAAAATAAAAGGAAATTCTGTGTAAATATGAGAGTGGTGTCCAAGTTACCAGTATCACTAATACATATTGCATGTAAAAATCCACCATCTCAACAGTCTTACAGAGAAAAGATTTGTATAAGGAAGTTAGTGTCAGCCTGTGATAATAGTGAAATATTTCATGCCAGTAAGGGGTGGATCCACAACTTTAAAGTGAGAAATGGAGTTCAGAGTGTATCTAGGCATGGTGAAGCAGCCAGTGCTGATAAAAGGGCTGATGAAAATTACATACACCACTTTGAAACTATGACACAGAGAAATGGCTTTTGCTCGCATCAAGTTTTCAACTGTGATGAAACTGGCCTTTTCTGGAATAAAATACCCAGAAAACTATATATTACCCAGGAAGAGAAGGAAATGCAAGGCCAAAAGCTAATGAAGGATAGGCTAATCTTCCTCTTCAATAAATGGTATTGGAAAAACTGGATTTCAACCTGCCAAAGATTAACACTGGACCCTTATCTTTCACCATGCACTAAATTAAAATCCAAGTGGATAAAAGATCTAAATATTAAAACAGAAACACTAAACTTGCTGGAAGAGAAGTTAGGCAGAACTCTGGAAGACATTGGCATAGGAAAAGACTTTATGAACAAATCCTCAGTAGCACAGGAACTAGCAGAAAGAATCAACAACTGGAATCCCATCTTATTAAAAAGCTTCTGTACTGCAAAAAAAATCATCAGCAGAACTAAGAGACACCCTACAGTGTTGGAAAAAATTTTTACCAGCTGCTCCTCAGACAAAGGACTATTATCTAGAATATATAAAGAACCAAAACAATCAGCCCCCCCAAATATAAAGACCCATTTCAAAAATGAGCATCTGAAATGAACAGACATTTCTCAGACAAAGAAGTAAAAGCAGCACGTAAATATATGAAAAAATGCTCCACATCACTGGTCATTTGAGAGATGCAGATAAAAACAATACTGAGATTCCACCTCACCCCACAAAGAATGGCTGCTATCAAGAAATCAAACTATAACAAATGTTGGAGGGGATGTGGGGAGAGAGGAACCCTTCTCCATTGTTGGTGGGAGTGCAGACTGGTGCAACCACTGTGGAAATCAATATGGAGATACCTCAAAGAGCTTGGACTGGAGGTTCCATTTGACCCAGCCATCCTTCTTCTGGGTATCTTTCCAAAAGAACTAAAAGAATCATATCACAGTGATATATGCACACTCATGCTTATAGCAGTACAGTTTGTAATAGCTAAGACTTGGAAACAGCCCATTTGCCCATCAGTTGGAAACTGGATAAAGAAGATTGGTTTTTCTATAAAATGGAATATTACTCAGCCATAAAGAAAGAGAAAATAGATTCATTTATAGGAAAATGGATACATATTTAAGATATACATATTTAAGTGAAATAAATAATTCACACGTGTAAATACCAAATAGTTTCTCTGGTGTGAATAAACTACAATGATACATAAGATCCTAATAAGATTACTGACATTGAGAAATGGGAAGAAAGGAGCTAAAGGTGTAGGGAAGGTGGGATGGGTAGGGGAAGGGTAAAAAGGGAAAAGAAAAAAATGTGAGTTATTGAAAAGATGGAAATAAAGTGTTTGTAGATGGGGAGTGGAGGAGGGGTTAATGGGAGGGCAGGGTCAAGGGGGAAAAAATGAGAAACAAGACCTGTCATGTAAAGGTACAAGATCCCAATAATGAATGTAACTGTACTGTATCCCTGAAATGTACCAATAAACTCAATTAAAGATGAAAAAATAGGGATAGACTAATTTTATTGCTATGTGCTAATGCAAGTGGTGGCCTCAAGATAAAGCCTCTCTTGCTTTATCATTCTGAGACCCCTAGAGTGTTAAGAAAACATTGGGTCATGGGTGTGTGGAGATCTAACGCAAAAGCCTGGGTAACAAGATTACTTTTTCTTTAGTGGACCAGGGAGGCTTTCTGTCCTACAGTTAAGAAATATCTAAACTACAGAAGTTTACCACTCAAGGCTCTCCTAATCATGAACCATGTTCCTGCTCACCCATGAGATTTGGAAGAATTGGCTAAAGAATTCCCACAGCTCTCAGTCCAGTTCCTCCCATTTAACAAAATTCATCTACTTCATCCTATGTATGAGCAGGTTACAGATAACATTGAGAACCTATACACCAAGGAACTGTTCCTGAAGTACCTCCAAGTGGTCTCAGACACAGATTTAACTGTTAAAGATTTCTAGAAGAAACATTACAACATCCTTTCCTGTGTGGGGTTAATTGAGAAATTCTGGACCAGTGACTCTCTAAGGACACTTCAATCTACTTAGAAGAAAGTGTGGCCTAAAATTATAAAAAAAAAAGAGACTTTGAAGGCTGTGTAGAGGAGCCTGAGCCCTCAAATGACTTTGTAGCTGATGATGTTGTTACTATAGGAGAGTTTATAGGCTTGCAGGCAGAGGAACTGGTGGAGGGTCACTCAAAGGAACTGTCTACAGAGGAACTTCAACAACTTCTGGCTGAGTGAAAGAGAATGGTAGCTAAGGAGCTATCTGAAGAGAAGAGAGTATCAACAGTCAGTGGAGCAAAGTTCTTCTGAAATAAAGGAAATACTGAAAAAATAGACAGAACTACAAACATTTGTAGAGAAGACACACTCAGACAGATAAAAAGCCATTGCATTCTCTTTCTTGATGATGATATCATGTCATACTACAGAATGGTGTTAAAGAAAAGACAGCTGGACTTCGTGGTGCACGCCAGTAATCCCAGCACTTGGGAGGCTGAGGCAGGAGGAGGATCACTGTGAGTTTGAGACCAGCCTTGGCTACATAGTGAGTTCCAGGGCAGTGTCAACTACATAGTGAGACCCTGTCTCAAAAAAACAAAAAAAACAAAAAAAGAAAAGACAGAAACAGACAACCTCAGACAAGTTTTTAGTTCTGAAAAGATTGAGACCTAGTGAGCTAGAAGCAGGTCCTAGTACATTACACAGTCTCCCAAGGAGAGAAAGGACACCAGACAGCCAGATTCCTGATGTTCTTTTGTAAGGAGACTCTCCTTCCAAACAATAACAACCTTCCATTTCATCCTCCCTTCCTGCAAGCCAACAATGTCAGCTTGAATAGTGGTACAGTGTGAAATTGTTGTTTGGGGTAAACTAGGCACATTTTATAACTTTTTGGTAAATACACTAGGAAAATTATTGTTGTTTCTTGTAAATTATGAACATTATGCAATGCTTTTATTATGAAAAGGTTAGTTAAGGGGTGCTTTGGTAGGTTCAGAACACATTATGGATATTTCCGTTATTTGTTATAGGAAAAATAGTCTTGAATTACAACCAACTTTAGTTACAACCAGCTCTCATGAATGAATTCATTTTGTAAGTCAAGGATCCACTGTAAGTGGCTTGGCCAATGCTACAGAAAGCTAATGATGTCCTAATTTCTTCTGGTCCAATGTGGTTTATGTTAGTCTTTTGTCCAGTTTTTTATACTTTTAGGATCTGGAAAGACACACCGTGATAATGATTATATAAATAATCCATATTATAAGAAGTTTTGCCAGATTAGTATAAAAGGGAATGAAAATAAAAACTAGCAATTTTAATCAATGCATATAAAATAATTCTTCCTCATAAATAAAAAATAGTTATAGAAATAAGATTTCTCATAACATTAAACAAAATTCAGGACATTTTTATAGTAATAATAATGCAATTATTAAATAGGCAAAATATGAATCTGTTCTAACAATATTTGCTTCATCAAGCTGATAGTGAAGAAAGAGAAGTTAGAAAAGAAATATATAATTTTCCATTCGTAATCTTCTCAGGTTGAAAATAAATAGCGATGCACAAATATACACCAAAAATGAGTGGAAAAAGACATAACATGACTACAGATTAAAGATCCTTTATCTTGCAGCCCTTATTCAGAATGGCTGAGGTAAAACATTCATTTCCTAAATGTTAGGTTTGGATATCTCAATGGGTTTAAAATTGGTACGTATTGAAAAAACTGCTTAGTTCAAAGCTGTCCTTCTCAGATCTTAGAATTGTTACTAGTAGTGTTACTGTTTTCTTTAGTATCTGAATATAAACCTTTGTTATTATGCTTACCTGTCCAATTTTTCTGAAGGATATTTTCTGTTTACACTTACTCATAAGGCATTTCATCTTTATTTCAACTTTTCTCTTAAAATAGATTTCTGCTGCAGAAAATAATGGAAATGAATCAGGTGTGAGAGAGCTACTAAAAAGGATCATACAGAAGGAAAACTGGTTTTCTACGTTTCTGCATATTCTTCATCAAACGGGAAACAGTGCCCTTGCTCAAGAGTTAACAGGCAGTGATCACTCTAAAAGCAATGCAGGTATTTGTAATTTTACTAAGGTAGACTTTGGACATTTTTGACGGGTGATTAACACTTTAAAATGAAACCTGTAAACATAGTACTGAACATCAAGATTTTTAGAAGCAAAATTATATAATGAGAAGGGATTTGATAGGTTGTTTATTTTAATCACCTTTACAAATGAGGAAACTGCTGACTAAGAAAAAATTAACGTTATCAGAGACTACAAAATTCAGCAAGTAAGGCTAGGATACTTGCACTTGACTTCTATCATTAGAAATCCACTTTCAGTCTTATTTTGGAAACATGGTAAGATGCTGAAATTTTATGAAGATACTTTCAACATTACAAAAGACACAAATAATTTAGAAAAAATATTGTACTGTTTATTGTAACTCTGCTTCACATTCTTCTGAATATTCCCGTTAATTTTCAAGTATTTGGCAAAGGACTTACAATTGCCAAAATATTTCAACCTTACTTAATATGATTTTTAAAGTATTTAATAATACTATCTGTAACCCCTTTGCATATATTAGTTGTAAGTCTGATTTAAATTGACCCCTTAACTCGGGATTTAGCTCAGTGGTTCCACCACCTGCCTCTCAAGTGCAAGGCCCTGAGTTCTATCCCCGGTACCACTAAAATAAAAAATAAAAATAAAATAAATTGACCCCTTCATTTTTGTAATATGGATCTTATGTTTTCAAAAGTATCATGTATAAGACAGATTCAGTTAATTGTTAACAAATTAATTATAAGTCTTATAATTATTGCAAGCTTACTTTATTTCCCTTCACTTCGCTCTCGATTCAGTCGTTCTGTGAACACATGCCAGATGTTTTGCCCCTGTTCTAGGGGCCAAGGATGTGATGTTAGTGAGACTACAAAGTTCCTATTCCCGTATACCCTGCCTTCTAGTGGAATGAGATTCACAGGAAATTTTCTGAATTACATATGCAGTGAAAAAGCAGGCAGTCATAGATGGCATAAACAATAAGTGTGAGCAGTGAACCAAAATAACTATATTATTGAAGAAATAGCACATGATGTTTCATGGTGTTTTTTTTTTTTAGTATCATGTATAAGACAGATTCAGTTAATTGTTAACAAATTAATTATAAGTCTTATAATTATTGCAAGCTTACTTTATTTCCCTTCACTTCGCTCTCGATTCAGTCGTTCTGTGAACACATGCCAGATGTTTTGCCCCTGTTCTAGGGGCCAAGGATGTGATGTTAGTGAGACTACAAAGTTCCTATTCCCGTATACCCTGCCTTCTAGTGGAATGAGATTCACAGGAAATTTTCTGAATTACATATGCAGTGAAAAAGCAGGCAGTCATAGATGGCATAAACAATAAGTGTGAGCAGTGAACCAAAATAACTATATTATTGAAGAAATAGCACATGATGTTTCATGGTGTGTTTTTTTTTTTATGAAATAGCTTAATTTTTGTCCAATACTTTGAAATACAGAAATATATGAATGTATTTATTTTACTCATTTAACAGTGGTTCGTTCAGTTTTCAAAAGTCAGGCGATAATTCTGTGGTGTATTTACCAGCAAATTCTGTTTCTACTATTATTGCTTCTGTGTGTGCACATGTGTACCTATATGTATATACAAAGAGAAGAGACAGATGGAGAGATGGAGACAGGCACAGATGGAGACAAAGAGGGAGAGAGAGACAGAAATATTTTGCTATGAGGGATTAAAATAAGAATTATAAAATAGCATTACTAAACCTATCTGCAAATGGCCCAGGAGGAGTGTAGCGTAATCAAATGGCTGAGTGAGGTCACTCTCTTTATCTCTCCCTGCACAGTGTCATATACTCGAGGTCAACAAAAAGTCAAAAACTCAAAACATTATACAGCTGTTTTTCCTCTCTGGAATTATTGAAGAATTTGGGAGCCCTAATCAATCCAGCTTTCAAAAGTCGGATAGAAATTCCATAATCTTTCTATCTGCCAGGCCCACAATTTCTAATCATCACTGTTTCCATTTATGCCACAAAGTGTAATGGTGTAAAAATCACTTCTCATTAAGAACTCTTCTTGTTTTCCTCTGGTTCTCTAGAGTGGCCTCAATGGTGCCACTTACTTGCAACATCTAGATCACTTATTCTTCCATGTGTATGTCATTTCCCAAGCATTTTTCCACAGCATAATTCCTGTTGCCAGTTGGCTAGGACTGAAGGGACTTGTAGTCAGAAATATGGGGCCAAATCTGTCTTACACACCTCAAAAATGAACCTCGAGCCTAGGGTAGACCATCCCATCTCTTGATAAAAGCCTTTGCAAGACCCCATGAAGCCATTACTACCTACTGACAAACATTCTAGAACTTGAATTTCAAAGGAAAATGGCAATAGTCTAGCTTTTATTGTTTGTTTGTTTCCTAGGATATTTTGGACTCATTATGTCAAGGAATTTTACAAAGGACAGTTTTTCAGCTCACAATTACTTCGTTACACCCATCCAGTTAGAGGGCATCTACCCATTTTATGTTTCAGTCCAGTGGGATAATTGTTTAGAAAAAAATGTAGGAGGATCTGCTTTGAAGTATTTCTATATCCTCCTGACAGAAACCCATATGCGGCAATATTTCTTGCTAAGATTTCTTTTTTCTTTGTGATGCCGCTAAGGATCAAACCCTGAGCTTATGCAAATTAGGCAAGCACTCTACCATGGAGCTACATACCTAGCCCACTAAAATATTTTAAAGTTCCACTTTACTAGGTGCCTTGTAGATGTTTAGTGTAATTTTTCAAATTATAGTTGTCTTTTAAACAAAAGCAGTCTAGGTGGAATATATCTAGTAAATCCAAGATAATGTCAATTTTTCAACATACCTTATACACATGTAGTATCTTCATGCCTTCCTTAGTACTTTTCTTATACGCCATAACTTGATACTGTGATTGTGTGAGTCGAAGAATGGCATTGAGACTAATTTATCCTGACTCCCACAACCCTACCAGATCTACCATTTTGCCCAAACCAAGAACCTTATAAAGACAGAAAAGGCCTGATTAAAAACAAAACAAAACATAAAAAAAAAACACCCACAAGTACCAATTACCCATCTTTTTCCCCCTTCCTGGTTCACAGCAGTGTCCTTTTGAAGGGAAAGGATGATGGATGCTAACTCAGATATTTAGCCTGCTGTGCAGACAGAGGATGCAGCAGAAATGAGTCTCTAGGCTTCCTTCAAAGGTTGAATGGAAAATGTCAAGTCCCATGGGCTCTCTGACCACCACCACTTCCACTCAGACTCACTCTTGACCAACTCATTCTACCTAAGTTTCCTTTTCATTCCCTCGGAAAACCCAGTCACGATAGTCAGGGTTGTAAATACCGATTATTTTACTGGCAGGCCTCGATGACAGGAGCAAATTTAGCTGTGGCTGCTCTCGTGAGAAGATAAAGCCTTGAACGACAAGTTATAGTGAGCTAAGTTGTGGTCTCTCATAACATACAGGTTGAAACCTTAACCCTCGGTGTGGCTAAATCTGGAGATAGAGAATCAAGAAGTGATTGAGGTTAAATGAGGTCATAACAGTGAGGCCCTCACACAATAGAACTGTATAGGAAGAACAGGAGAAAAGAGATCTCAGTTTTCCATCATGGAATAACACAGTGAGAACGCAACCATCAGCAACTCAAGGAAATGACACCTCTAGGTCTGTCACCTTGATCTTGGACACCCAATCTCTAAAACTGTGATAAAGTTTGTTGTTTAAGGCGCTCAGTCTATGCTATTTTGTTCTCATGACCTGAGCTAACTCATACAGATTTTAGTACCAAATGTGATCCTGCTAAAATACATAAAGTGACTTTAGAATGGGATAATGGAGAGGAAGAGTTTTCAAGGCGAATGCTAACAATATAGATTTTAAGGGTTAGTTCTCAGAAATAAGGAATATTATTGGAAACTGGAAGAAAGGTGATTCTTGTAAAATAACAAAGAACTTGATAAAAGAATGTTCTAATATTTTGTAGAATGCAAATATTATAGTGATGAAATTGGATACAGTATCGAGCAGAGAAGATTTCTAAACAAAATGTTGAAGGAGTGTTGTGTTTCTTTCGACTGATACTATAGTAAGTCAGAAAAGAGAGAGAATGTGACCTACAGAAGCAATCGTTAACCCCAAAAGGACCAGAACTTGAAGAACTGAGAAATTCTCAGCCCACCCATAGTACAGAGACTTAGGATGGTGTGTTCTACAGAACATTACTGTGTGACCGGACAAATGCTATTGTTGATAAAGAGATTATGGATTGGACTCGTGTACATCCTCATTTCAGCAGAAGCCAAGGGTAAACATAACATTATGCCAGCAGAGACACTGTCAGTTTGCCCTACAGGGGACAGAGAAAACAGAATGAAATGAGGAAAGGCTGTCACAGGTTCACTGATGCTCTTTGGCTGGGAATAGGTGCTGTGCCTAAGAAAGGACAGAGTAACCCAATTCAGAGTTCATCAGGGTTGCCAGTCCCACCATCTCCCAGGCAGCAGAGCTTTTTCCTCCTTGATTTCCAAGTTTGTGGCTGCCTCTTTGGTTTAGATGCTGTGCCTCCAAGGTGGAGATACCTTACAGTCAGCTGCAAGGGTAAGATTCTCAGAGAGCAAAGAGGGCCTGGTGTGATTCTTCCACCCCAGAGGGGCCGGAGGACGGAGTTTCTAACCCGAGAATTATTCTTTGTCTGTTTAGGGTTTTTGTTCATTTGTTTATTTTTTCTTTTCTTTTAGTTCAGCTTTGTTTGGCTCTGTTTTGTTTTGTTTTGAGACAGGGTCTCACTTTGTAGTGCAGGATGGCCTTGCACTCACTATGTAGTGCAGGCTGGCCTCCGACTCATAGTGGTTTTCCTGCCTCAGCCTCTTGAGTGCTGTTATTGCAGGAGTGGGCCACCATGCCTGGCTTGGTTTGTTTCTTTAAGATAGGCTCTCACTATATATTTCAGGCTGGCCTTAAACTCACTGTGTACCCCAGGCTGGTTTCTAACTTGCAGAAATCCTGCTTCAGCCTACCAAATACTGGGATTGCATGGAAGTGTCACCAGGCCCTGTCATTTTTCTTATTTGTTTTGTTTTGTTTTTGGTGGAGGGAGATTCAAAGATAATTATTTTTAAGCTTTAAAATCTGACAGAATTTGTCTTGCTAGGTTATGACAAATCTCATCTTTCTTTCCTATGTACAATATATATATTTTGGAATGGATACTAGCCTGCACCACAATTGCATTTTGGAATCACATAACTTGAACAGCTTTGTGAGTTCAGAGCTGGAAGAGAATTTACCTGAGGCTGAATCATACCTAGATGGCTACCCAGATCTAATTTAGATAGTATTTAAATAGACTTTGGATTTAGACGTAACATTCTGATTCTCCAATGAGTTACAACATTTAAGGCTTTTAGAGAGATTAATGTATTTCACAAACAATGAGGATATTTTATGAAGGAAACTGTAGGCTCCCCAGAGTCATATATTGGAGCCTTAACCCTTAACGTGGCCGCATGTGGAGATAGATAGTGTGTTTAGGGTAATTAAGGTGAAATGAGGTCATAAACCTGAGCCCGTGTGCCAGTACAACTATGGTCTCATGGAAGAGGAGGAACAGAATAATCTCTTTTTCTTTTCAGCATGTGAGGACAGAGTGAAGGCAGCTGAGAGCCATAAGAAGTAGATTTCATTGTTTTAATTACTCTGTGGTAAATTGTTGCCACCACCCTAACAGCCACAGGAGCCTGACTCCTTAGGCCCACTGACTCCTAGCTCCTCCCTTGGATTTGTAACTTCTGGCCAAGTACGGGACCTAACTTCACTTATCTGTAAAGTGAGGCTCATAATACTACTTGTTACCTAGATTTATTTTGAACATCAAATGACTTGATCAATGTAAAGTGCTTTATGATAAGCACAAAATAAATTGGCTACTATAATCATAAATCCCAAACACGTGTGATAACTGTCTTTAAATAGTGTCAAGTTGGTTTTTTATCTGAAGTCACAAGCATTTCTTTTTTCCAGAAAATTCTTCATGAAAAGTTGGACACATTTCCCCCTTATATCACACAAGCTAATTTGAAATCATATGTTGAGAAATTTTCTTCTGTGTAGTGGCACACACTTGTAACTCTAGCAGTTTGGGAGGTGGAGGCAGAAGGATCCCAAGTTTGATCCCAGACTGGACAACTTAGTCAGACTCTCCCACAAAATAAAAAAAAAATAATAATAAATACAAAATGAAGGGATGGGAATATAGATCTATACAGAAAACTTGGCTTTACCCCTAGTAATGCCCCCCCCCAATTTTTTTTTCTTTATGGCATCTGTTTTCTCTGACAGATTTTAGTTTGAGAAGGAACAGAAATTACTGTTTTTCTTTATGTTCCATAGAGGCCCTTAATAAAACACTCAGTGCACATTGGTTGAAGGCTGAACGGCAAGAAGGTGGACTAGGAGAAAGAAGACATACAGACAACTTTGTATATTAAGAAATGCTCCAAGAATTCAGAACACATGAATTTAGTCTGACATTAAAGCAGATGTACATCTTCATGTGGAACGTACAGCGCGAGAGAACAAAATGGCAAGAGCACAAGCTAAAGAAAAACTACCACATTTACATTTTCGTTAATTCAGCCTTAAATGTAGCTTTGAATCCCTGAGTCAGTGACTTTAATGCCTCAAGATGATGGTCAGAAGGAGAATCATCTCACTTTCCTCATGATGAGCAAAATACTATATTGGCTTTTTAGATAAAATTTAATCATTACCAAAAGCTACTCACTGTGTTCATATTAAAAGTGAAAATATTGTGTCATAACAAAAAATTCATTCTAAACCTTTCAAAATGTCAGTTTCAAAGCACATTAGGGCAAATCTTCATTAGAGGCCTCCATTTTATTTTCAAAAATTACAATAATAGCTATTTACATTGAGTGCAATTTTTCATTATAATTCAGTTTACATTCCATTCAGACTTTGAAAGTATTTAAGAGTGTGTGGATGGATAATTGCCAATTGATAGCTCTGTTTTCTTTATTTTTTAAATAACAGTAACAATTATATACACAGTATAATATAAAAACTTGTGTTGCTCTATGATTTACACTCTAATATTTTATTTACAGGGGTTGAAAATTTATCACATGAAGATGGTCCTGAAGTTAATGAGTCACTTCTTTCAGCCACAGATCAGTCAGATCTAGACAAGGAGGACTGGAACATCAAAAATAATTTATCAGAGACATCGTATGCAGATTCTTCTGTAGTTTCAGGTATTTGAAACATGTGCATACTTTACATACACTTCCAGAAGTGCTGTTCCAGAGAATTTAGTTGGGATATTGATGACATCAGTATCGAGTAAACGTAAGGGAGAGGAATTTGGGCCCTGGTTTTAGTTGGGATATTGATGACATCAGTATCGAGTAAACGTAAGGGAGAGGAATTTGGGCCCTGGAGTTTGTGAGCATTTTTTTTTTTTTTTTGGTACCCGGGGATTGAACTCGGGTCCTTGCGCTTGCAAGGCAGACCACCGAACCGCTGAGCTAAGTCCCCAGCCCTGGTAGCATTTTTATTAAAATAATATTTTTAGGAGATTAAATTAAAACAACTCCTCTTTGGCTTAACCATTTTAAATGAATACAATATTAACGTGTTACACATATGAACATATTTGTTTCCAATTTTACTTTCTAAGAAATCTGTGGTCGTTCTAATGTAATTACTATCATAAGTATGTGCTATATGTCATGGTTCCCCAAATAAATATATTAATCAGTTTAACTCACTCCAACCTCCTCAAAATAATGAGAACAATTACTATTTCCCTAATTTGAGAGAGAGAGAGAGAGAGAGAGAGAGAGAGAGAGAGAACTTAGGGATGTTCAGCTGTTTTAAAAGGAAGTGAACAGTTATGAAAGAAGGATTGGCTTGAATTTCAGTGAATAAATTGGCACGAGGACCAAATACCAAACCTCTACTTTTTGGTACTGAAACAACCCCGGAAGAAGCAAAGTAATCATCTTTCCTTCTCCAATATACTCATGGTGGGAGAATTCTCTTTCCTTTCCCTCTAAAAAGCTACATTGTATTTCCACAAGAAAAACTTAATTAAAGACTGTGGTGTGTATAATAAATATAACAAGAAGCTCTCTGGGGCAGAGAAAAAAAAAGCCCTGATTTCTAATATCATTTGCCAATACTTGTGACATAAATATTTCAGTTTTCTCAACCTAAGGTCACTGGTCACGAATCTGGGAAGATTTGTGTTAAGACTGTACCACTTCCTGACATTTGGACTGTCAAGTCATACGTAATAGTGGAATCTAGTAAAATGATTAGAAAGTGATGAGTTTTAAGTTTTCCTCCTATTTAAAATTCAATTTATCTAATTGTAAATTCACATAATTTGGAAAAAGCTGTGCTTAAGAATCTACTTACAGAATTTTTGAAATTTTAATGACTGGCTTTTGTGAGGTGGTATAGACTCACCCTCTCATGCCACTGCAATATCTAGCATTTGTACTTACAAAGTAATACAGGTGCATTGCACAAAACTTGGGATGCAAAGAAAGTCACAAAGAAATCGCGCCTATTCCCGCAGTATGGCTAGTATATTTTTGCATCTCTTTGCGGTCTTTTCACGTGGCTAGGGATGTATTGTAAGAGCATGTCTCGTTTCACTTAAGAGGCCGTACTCTTAAGTGAAATAAATAGGACACGTGTAAATACCTAATAATTTCTCAGGTGTAAGAAGTGAAAAGTGTAAATAAGGACTTAAAGGTTTAATAGATAATGTGAAATAGGAAGAAAAGGGCAAAGGGGCAGGGGCAGTGGGAGGGGTAAGGGAAAGGAAAGAAGGGAATGGAATTAATATGAGAAAATGAAAACATGGAAACAAAGCCTTTGCAGATAGGGAAGGGTGGAGGGGTTGAAGTGAAGGCAGAATAATGAGGAAAAATAAGAACCAAGATAGATTATAAAAAGGTGCAAATCTCCAATGATGAATGTCATTTTATTGTATACCTTAAATGTACCAATAAAATTAATTTTAAAATAAAGAGCATGTCTCCTGGATTCAGTAGATGCCCCTCTACAAAGTGGCTTTTAATGACTCAATAACAGTTCTACCATTTGGATGCAGTGTAATTAATTAACCAAATGTTGAACATTTAGTATCTTTCCAAATTACTACATCATGAACAATGCCTTGATATCCTTCTCTACTAATATTGCAGCTTACTTTCTAAAGCCATATATAATTGGAATTTCTGGTTCCAATGACTTATACTCTTTCAACACACTTGATACAGTCAAATTTCATTGTGCCAATTTACATGTTCTCCCACAGTATAGGAGAATGCCTTGTTACCATGACTTTTCCTTTACAGACGTTGGCAATAGCATTTTTTAATCTTTTGCCGATTTGATTGGTGTTAAAAATATTCTTTTAAGCTGGGGATTTAGCTCAGTGGTTGCACTGCCTGCCTTGCAAGTGCAAGGTCCCAAGTTCAATCTCTAAAAATAGTTTGATTTTTTAAAAATATTATCTTATTTGAATTTGAAATTTATAATTTCTACTAAACTGTTTTTAGAAGTTCCTTTTCTCTGTGTTGTTATTTTGTTATTGATTCCATAGACATTTTCCTATTAGGATATATATGTTCTTGCTGATTTATATAAACTATTGAAATATATGGGGTATCAGTCTTTTGTATACATTGCATCAATATTTTTTAGGGTTTGCTTGCTTTTTAGGTTTATAGTATATTGCTTTGTTTTCAGTTGTATAGTATGTTGGGTTTGTTTTTTAATGCCATGCTTCCAAACCACATAGAGGAGGAAGTTTATTGAAATTCAGATGCTGATTCAGTAATTGTGGAATAGCTCCTGATATTACACGTTTTGCACAGGCTTTAGATGCTGCTCCTGCTACCGGTTGTAGACCATACTCTAAGCAGCAAATTTCAATGCATAAAACAGTAAAACTTTGAAACCTGAATTCTAGGGGAGCTTTATTTTATTATTTATTTATTTTGAGACAGGGTCTTGCAATGTACTTCAGGCTCACCTTGAACTCACTATGTAGCCCAGGCTGTTGACAATCCTCCTGCCTCTGCCTTCCATGTGCTGGGATTATAGGCATGTGCCACCACACTTGGCCTTTTTTCCCCATATAAACACCTTCTGTTATCCATATTCTACGGGGATGTCAAAATCTACTATCTGAAGATGAAGTTTTTGTGTTTTAACAAACTTTCTTGGTAAATTCCCTGACATCTCTGTAGTTTACTGGAAATCTTATAAATCCACACTAGAAAGGATTGAATGCCAAACTGAAGGCAGAAGATAATTGCATCTCAAATGAGGGTTTTTCATCAAAACTTACCAGGTTCAGTTCATCAGCTTGCAGTTTATCTAGTCTGAGTTTCAAAATGAACAAAATTAAAGGCAAAGGTTTTAAATAAATACCTTTGTTATTTTTCATTTTAAGTTTCAAATGCATCTTGTGAGAAAAATTTAGGAAATTGAAAAATTTACTGTTCTTGTTGTTGTTGTTGTTGTTGTTGTTTTTCCTTTCCATTGTGGGGCTGTCATCGAGACGGAAGCCACCTTCAGCTGCACTCACAGTAAGTGCTATGAAAGGAAAATGCAGAATATTAAAACATGGAATACACTGAAAGCATCCAGGTGTTCAGTAAGCTTATAGAAAGTGGATCTCATCCAGTGCACAATCAACATGTAGTACGTAGCATCCTTACCATTTGTGGGCTTCTCTTACATATTTCTAAGCAGGTTAGTCCAATCATGCTGGCCCTTTCCAGAGCAGCGACAATAAGCAGCAACTTATTTATAAATATGTATCGCCCTTGTTCAAAGGCTTTGCTGCAGTCACTTCTGCAAATAACTGCTTATGGATCATTTCAAGTTATCTGTTGATTTTCTTCATGTAAGAACTAAGAATTATTTAATAAATAACATGTAAAATAATATTAGCCAAGAAAAGTCATTGGAATGCTTTTGATGGAACTTTTTGTTTTTGTAGAAAAATTCAATGTGGAAGAATTTTGCCTACAAAGACATTTTCAGAACTAACACTCTAAATACATGTATGTAAATATGAAAATATTTCATAGTTTCTAATATGTACTTGCATGATTTTTTATATATTTTCCTGATATTGGCAATGCCTCTATTATTATTTTGAATTCCAGCATAGTAGGTTAATATTTCAAATAGCTGCCAGAATATCTTTGAATAAAATTTTTACTTAAGCTACATACCTAGGAATTTTTAGTATGCAGAAAGAAAAAAGTGGCAAATTATTATTAACATTAAATGAAGACATCTCATTATTATTTCTGAACACTTTGTTCAGTACATAGTTATATTACTGAATCCAAATATTGTTGATCATGTATACCTTTAATTGAAGCTATAAATCTTCATATGTTGATTTTTTTAGGACTTCTCCCTCAGTGGTTCATCCTGAAACCAATTTTAATCACATTTATCTTTTTCACCCACCAGTTAATGTATCAAAATTTTCTCACAGGTAATTTTCCTCACTATTGACAATCAATTGCTTCACATTAAAAGACATTAAGATGTAGCAAAATTAAATTTTTAAGTCATCCTTTCCCAAGCTAACACAGTCATGTCTAAATATCATTTGAACATTTCTCAGACTAATAATACATGCTACATGTAATAGTTCCACTTTTGGTAGTGACTGGACATATAACAAAAATATATTGCAAAACTTTGATATTTCTTCAGACCACACTTCCCCAGAAAACACCAGAGAGACACAAGACACGTATTTATTTTCTTCTATTAAAATACATTAATTAAAGCAAATGAAAGGTTTATTGATAATTTTCATTTTATAAATTTACAACAAAGTTGTTCAATCACTTGCTATTGTTTCATCAAAACAAGTAGTTCTTTTAAATGGGCCTTTTTATACTTTTCTAGGAATTAATCCCACATAATAAAATAAAATAAATGATACTTAGAAATAAGTAAAATTTGAACAAACCTACTTTTTTTCAGAGTTGAGCAGATAACCCCGAAAGATTTTTTTGTCCCTGTCAGATCTTCCTATGGATTTAGAAATGCAAAACCTCATATTGACCAGCAGAGGGCGACTTTACACTTAGAGAATGAAAATTCACTGTTGCAGTATGGAAAATTATCGTGCGACTGCAGGATGTGCCATGTGTGAATGAATACATAGTGCGCATGACTGTGAATGCATGTGTATATTTTG